GTCCATCCGCTAAGCCAGGGTGGAGGACACAGGCTGACCCTGCACAAAGGGAGGCTGTCAAGGGCTTCGTCAGCTTTATTTTATTTTATTTTATTTTTGGTTTTTTGGTTTTTCTCCGGTACCGGGAACCGAACTCACGACCTTGCGCTTGCCAGGCAGGCGCTTTTGCCGCTGAGCTAAATCCCCAGCCCCTTCGAAATGCTTTCTTAACATTTTAATTTTAAAGGAAGGAAGTCTGATTTGTTTAAATAGCTGACCTGTGATTAGAAGTGTTCTGTGATCATATTTTGATTTACATAAGTGAAATTCAATTAAAATACAATTTTGAAACAGTTTTAGTGCTAGAACCAAATAAACCCATGACCCGATAGACTGAGCTGAATGACATAAAATCTAATCACGTTAACCTCATTTGTTTGGTTTCTATGAATATTGGTGAAGAGGAATGGAAATTTCAGTTTGGAATCAGTGACGAAAATGTGCTTTTCCTTCCCTAAGTCCTGCATGCCCGAGGGGAGCATCTGGCCTTCCTTTATTGAATTAACTCCAAATACTCCCAGCTAATTTGATGGCTAAATGTCTTAGTTGAAGACTTCCAATTTTAGTTCAGCAATTCAGAGGCCTTGTATTGTTCTTTAGTGGGTTAATAGAGAGACTGAAGGATGTAATAAAGAGGTAAGGAAATGCCAGCTTTATCTCTAGGGCATCCGGAAATCCCAAGCCATGTGTTTCTTCCTCTGCTTTGGTGGAAAAAAAAAGAATCTCAACCTGTGTTGCTTCAGATTGATCTTAACAGGCATTTGTGCCCCCTCAAGTTATACAGCTATTAAGGAGTCAGTTTTATTAGGGTATAATAAAATACATTTCCCTGTCTCCTTTCCTAAAGAAGCAGTATTATCTATGTTCCTAATATTCTAAATTCAATAATTAACTCAAATTTGTTTCACATTACTTTTGTAATAGGTTTTCTTCGTGCTTTTTCTTTTCTCAGCATTCCGAAATAAAAGAAAAGGAAGCAGGAATGAAGAAACATGAAGAAAACGAGGCTAAATTTACCATGCAGATCACGGCGCTGAATGAAAATTTAGGCACTGTCAAGAAGGAGTGGCAGTCTAGTCAGCGGAGAGTTAGTGAGCTTGAGAAGCAAACGGATGACTTACGGGGTGAAATCGCAGTCTTGGAGGCCACGGTTCAGAATAACCAGGATGAAAGGAGAGCCCTTCTGGAAAGGTGATCGGTGTCTAGTAAAGTCAGTTATTTCTACTGGGAGGAAGGAAATTTGTCCCATGCCACATTTTTAAAAGAGAAAAATGTATAATTTCAGCATATATTTAAGTAGCCATCTAAAATTTAACCCTTAAAATAACCCACGGAAATTAATGTATATTTAAAATGACTAATGTAGTCCATTACCTGTTTTGCAGAGAGTTTTTGTGATTTTTTTAAAAAATGAATTGTCTCTTCGCTATTTATTCCAGATGTCTTAAAGGAGAAGGTGAAATAGAAAAGCTTCAGACCAAAGTACTAGAGTTGCAAAGAAAGCTGGATAATACAACCGCAGCAGTGCAAGAGCTGGGCAGGGAAAACCAGTCCCTACAGGTCAGTGCCCAGGTGACTTGAGGCAGTTTCTTAGTCTAAAATTGACCTGTTAGTGAAAACATATCTTCATCTTTTAAGAAAAACCTTCAGGGGTAGCGGTGTAGTTAAAGAGCCATTGCCCAGCATCTGCACGGTCCTGCATTACAGCGCTGCAGAACAAAAACAGTGAAAGTAAAATAAAACCAACAGAACCTCAGTTTGTTTCAGAGCCACAGAGATCAGTTTGAGAGCCACGTCATTCATGAAATGTCTGTGCAGGGAAAGAAGTACAAAACTCAAGAATACAGGGGATGGATAAGTCAGTATGTGTTAAAGAAGAAGCCATCTGTGTGTTCAGAATCCAGGAAGAACTGACTTTAGAGTTCGAATGGAGGGGAAATCACCAAAGGCTGGAAATTGCTAACACCTCTTACGAATTAAATCTTACTTAGTTTTATTTTGTCGTTCAGAGTTATAAGTGCTGCTATTTTTTACAAATGGAAATAGAACAAAATACACTATTTCTTTTTTTAAATTTTTATTCAGTGTTGCATATAGGCAAAATTTTATAAATATGTGGCCCCTTAGTGGATATAATCCATCATTCTTTAAAATGTATAATTTGTTGAAACTTTTTTAACAGATCAAACATACACAGGCGCTGAATAGAAAGTGGGCTGAGGACAACGAAGTGCAAAACTGCATGGCCTGCGGGAAAGGCTTCTCAGTCACCGTGAGGCGGGTAAATGGTTTTGTTCCTAAGTTGCATTTCTGATTTCATTTCTCAATCACGATTCTTTAACTGGCAAAACAGTTCTACATTTGACAGATTTTTAAAAATTTTTCTACTTATAGGTAAAGTTTACTTTTCAGCTACATGCAAGAATTAAATTTCATGTAGTCTGGTTTCTAGTTCGCATGTGTGTTAAACGCTCTCATTTCTTTTCTACTTTTCCTACTCTGGGACAGTTGTTTTCTGGACCGGTGCATAGGTATTAAACTCATGTGTTTTAATCAACTTTAGGGTCTTTGGAAGGAAAAAAAGCAGAAAGTGTTTAAGAAATGTATTTTAAATAATGCTGTTACTTAAAAATTCCAGTTGAAGGCATCCTTGAGACCTTTCGTAAATTGGAGTAGTTTCACATTTGCTAGGGGTGCTTTCACACTTTAAAGTGCCTCCTTGGGTTCTTGAGAATTTCATGATAAGAGCCACATAAAATGTTTAGCATGGTGTTTGATAACTGGGAGCATTTGAATTGAATACACCAAAAGGTTAGTTTATATGTTGAAATATGTCACTAAAGAATAGAGGAAACTGGAAAGTTAATGTACCTGTACACTGTTAGTTTACAGGGTGGTTTGTGATATTCATGTAATTTTATGATGCTTTTGGTACAAGTTTTTTTTTGGTCTTTTCGAGACAGGGTCTCACTATGCAGTTCAGGCTGGCCTTAAACTTACTTTGTGGCCCAGGCTGGTCTTGAACATGCAATGATCCTTCTGCCTCAGCCTCCCCAGTGCTGGGATTACAGGTGTGCACCACCACGCCCGGCTTGGTACAGTTTTTCAGCTTAAAATTGTTTGGTTTTTGTCACCTACAGCATCATTGCCGACAGTGTGGAAACATCTTCTGTGCTGAGTGCTCAGCCAAGAATGCCTTAACGCCTTCCTCCAAGAAGCCCGTCCGCGTGTGCGATGCGTGTTTCAATGACCTGCAGGGATGACGGGTCGGCGCAGCGTCACAGCTGCATCACACTACGGGAGATTTTTAATACGTGCGTTTAGTAGAGGTCGTGGACTGTTTGGTTTGGACTCTGGCAATTCTAGACCAAATTAGAGTTCATATATTTTGGAATGTGATCAGTATCAAGTAAAAGTCTTCTATTTTTGTGAGACTTGGATTCATCTTCATTATCTTTTTCCATGTAACCCCTGGGATAGCTTTCATGCCAACTTTAGACTTAGTCAATGAAATGTAAATAAACTTTGGACAGAAAATAGCAATGTATTTTTTTAAATATAATTTCATGGTTCACAAATGATGACTATAATTCCCTAGCTTACTTGTCTCTCCCAGATTACATGCACACAAACGCGCATGGGTGATGTCATCACTTGCTTTTGTTGCACAGTGACATTAATTGTATTACATATTCTCTCCGTGGGATCACCCACAGGACTGTAACACGTTTTCTCTTCCGTATAGGTCTGTAGTTCAGTTACATTGTTTTGTTACAGATTTACTACTTGGGTATTCTAAATACAGTGTATGTTAAAATATATATTAATAATGAATTCAAACAAGACTTTTGTTTTAACAGTATTGATTAAATTCTCTAGTAGGTTTTATAAAACCCTCTATAAAATCAATTTGCTTACTTTGTGGTAATCCTGGGTTATGTTTCAGAGATTAGGGTTGATTTTTCTTTTTCTTTGTGCCTTTTTTATCTCAATTTTAAACTTCCACATATTGTCCATTAAAAAATCCTATGAAACCCCTTACCCTCTCAGGTGGAGGATGAAGAATAGAAACTGTATAGTGGTCCTGTTCTTCCTTTCTTGTTAGTGGTAAGTCTGAGATTAGCCTTCAGATTATAACCTTAACCTCTATCTTTGTCCAGCACCTCCAGGAATCTGAATTTGCTTTTTTAAAGGATCTGCCTCTTGTCCTTGACTTGGTTCGACCTTTGAGCAGTGAAGCATAGCTCAGCTTCACTGTAATTGTTTTTATAAATTTGCACCTTAAAGATAGTAACTTATATTGCTATAGTCTTATCTGTGAAAACAAAATATAAAATGGTAAGGAAAGATGAAATATTCTACTTTATATTTTATTTTTACCTAATAGCATTTTAGAAAACTGTTAAAATTGACTTACTCTTAAAATGGTTCTAGGTTGGAGTTCCATATTAACTGGAAATGTTATCTGCAAAAATAATGCTTGACATTACCTTTAAGTAACAGCTAGAGAATAGAGTATCACTTCAGAGAGATGTACTTAGGAACGCTGATATTACAATAAACACTGAAACAGAATTGCCAAGCACCTTAAGGATAATTAAGAATTAACCTATTTGTATGGTGAACAATGAAATTGAATTTTAATGTTTCGTCTTTTTAATTTGAAAAACTGGAAAACATCTGAAAGCAGAATTCACTAATTTTAATTTATTATCTTTCTAGAGAAGAAATGTTAAAGAAATACATTCATTCAGTGCAGCCATTTAACAATAGTAGAGAAGGGTGAGCGTTAATGTTTCATTTACAGTAATTTATAATACTTGCTTTCAAATGCCACACTGAAATGAAATTATCACACTTACATAATATCTAGAACATAGATAAACGGGAAGATTGCCACATACTCGTTTATGTTAAAAGTAAGCCCTGTTGTCAGTAGCTGTTAAGGACATTGATTAAGTCCGTGGACTTGGATAAACATATATCCTTGAGCATAAGTAATAAATAAGTGCAATCGCTATTAAAATAATACTTGGATAATATAAACTGAGCTATTCATGGAATTTTCTATCCCCATAAGTCCTTTCAAATAGTATTAATTGATACTTTTACATTCAAGTAACTTACTGAACTTAGAAAAACACAGTCACAGCACCATTTTTTGGTTTGTTTGAAGGTAAGAGAGCTTTAGGAGAGTTCTGGGCAGGAATGTTGTTTTGCTTCATCTCCTCGTGGGATGCATTGTAGTCTGCTCCCCCCCCAACCCCCGCACACGTTCACAAAAACATTGTGAAGACAACAGATAAAACCACGATTGAACTGTTCGTCTCATTTTTGTCTAATCTCATTTCATAGCTCCCAAGTAACCTACCTACCACTGGCTACTATATGGATAAAATAAATGAAACCAGTTTTGCTTGTAGCTTCCCAATTGAATGTGTTTTGAAAGTAAACCTTAGTGTTGTTTTCCCCTATAATTAAACAGTCCTCTTCTGAGTTCTTATTGGCTCTACATTTCAGGTGTTTGCTGGTACTATTATTATCTTGTCGGAGAGACAGAGCTGGCAGCTCTTAGTTCTGGTGCAAAACATTGGCATCAAGTCTTAGTAAATTGCAAACCTCGGCATGGAAGTGTGAGTTAAAAATCAAATCTTGCCACTTAGTGTACAATAAAGTACTTTTGAACAGAAAGAAGACAATGCTGCTGGCATAGGATGTGTTTCTTTTGAAGAAAAAAAAGAAGGAAACAAACACAAAACCTCAGTGCAGTGTACAAATAACATTTTGTTCAACTACCTCTTAAAAGTGGAATTAGCTACTTTAATAGTTTCCTTATAGAAATGTTAAATAGTAACTGCCAAATTTTGTTATTTTCCCATCTCTTTAAAAAGTGTTTATGATTATTTTATATAGTTTTGAGATCTTTAAAGTCACTTTTTTTTAACCTTACATTTGCATAAACATTTAGCTTTTAAGTGGAAAGCAAATTATGATCATATATTTTGATATTCATGACCTGTTTGACTATAGCAGTTTTTTTTTAAATGCACTTTGGCTATAAAATCGTGGATGATTTGATCCATGAGATTTAAATGCGCCATCAATTTACTATTCCTAGACATGAGCTTGATGAATGATATTCTGTAATTATAATGTGCCACACATTACCATGTCTTAATTGCCCTTTGCCTGAATTTTAATGATCAATTTGTTATTGTTGCAGATGTGAATATTGTGCATACACTGACTAAATTTATGTGAAATTGTATAAAGTGGAATTGGAGATCACTAAGTCCTTTCTGTGTAGAAGTACTGAGCTTACTGTAACATGATGCAGTCGTTTGTATGGGGTTCTGTACTGCCTTGAGCTGGGTCATGTGCTCATAGCAACTGTGTATACTTTTGCATGGATATTTTTTCATTTCATTTTTGGGTTCATTATTTGTATTGTGTTTACTATTTGTGATCATGTAGTTGTGCCTTACTTTGTGAGAGTTTAGCTCAGTAAATACTGTAATTTCTAATCTCAATGATTAGAAGGTTATTGATTATAAATATAACTGATAAATTACCTGACAGCATTTAAATCTGTATAAAGAACAATGGAAGGATCCTTGTTGAATTGTTTCTTTTGTTTTTTAATATGTTAAAGATGATATTAAAACATTTCTTTCTAGTAGATGTGTTCTGTGGCTGAATTATTTTGTCTGCTTGTAAAAGAGGACAAGATCTTAACCATTTTCTGTGAGTTAATTTACAGAATGTTAGGACTTTGCACTTGTATATAAAGTGATTGTGTTTTAATGTTCTTTAGGATGCTGATTATTCATGATCTCAAGAGAAATTATTACTACCATTTTGCTTGAGACTTTCTTTTTTCACTGTACTGAATATTGTGGAGAAATTATCAAAACTAAAAAGAGTATAAAAATATAAAAGTAGTCCCTCTTTTCAGTGTGTACGTAAGTTTAATCCCCATGTGACCACTTGATACTTTTGAAAGCCCAATGTACCATTGTTTTAAAATTTTTCCCCCTGGGCAGTAGAGTGCCAGAATTTTTTCTCCCTATTTCATTTTAATGTCTTTCCTCCTGAAAAGTTGAATGTGCATATCAAACATGTAGTAAACATATTTTATATCAGATACACTGTTTTGTGAGCCTTACTGTATTCTAGTTTATGACATATTTTGCAGCTGTTTTACATCCTTTAGGTTAAATTTTTGTTTCTTTAATAAGATGTAAGAGTGAACACTGGTCCTTTATATACATAAATATGTGATTTCTAGACTCTTGGGACTAAAGGAATCTTGAGAAATCACCTAGTGCTAGTCCACTGCCTTCCCAGGTTGATTTGTGTCTCAAAGACCCTGCAAGATGATTGTTAAATTTTTTTTCCTGAAAATACTTACTTTAACCAGAAGTTCTTTATAAATCTCTTGCAGACATCTCTGTGCCTTCTCCTGGACGTAGCTGCCTTTAGTTCCATCCAGATGCTATCTATAGGCGCTCACTTGATTCTCTTCTTTTGTGCCTCCCTCCCCTGCCACGTACCCTTAGCTGTGAACAATGGTTGCTGCTTTCCACATTCCCCTTTTATTTTACTGACCCCTAACAATTACCTGCCTCCAGTGTCAGGAGACTGACTCCATTCTAGTAGTGCTTGACCCTCGTCCCTTCCCGCTGCCCTTATCCATAGGCCTTGTTTGCATGGTGAGGTTTGTGCCCACTTGTGAAAACTTACTGTGCATCTCACTTCCCCAAACTTCATCCTCTCTATCCAGTTCTTCACCTTAAAGAAATCAGTTAAAGTTTTAGTTATCTTGCAGCCAAATTTGGTAAATTTATTACTGAGGAAATTGTAGAAGAACCATGATGGAAATTGATATTTGTGGGTTCCCACTGAATAAACTTGGACCCGAAGAACTGCTTCCTTAGTTGCAGTGATAATACTTCAGGTAGCACACACACACCCAAACCAGAAAGTGTGTTTGCACTTGCGCACAAACACCAGAAAAAATGTGTTTTGACAAATACCATCATTCTTCAAAAGTTGAATTTAAGAGAAAGATACTACTCCTATGAAAAGCTCCCATGTAAAACTTAACTGGTGAACCTGGAAAAAAATTTTTTTCTTAAACAATGGAATTTAGTCTGAGGTTTGCATATTCCAAATTAGATCATTATAAATATATCTAAGATATATAAACTGTTGAAGATAGGAATTCTGAAGTTGCTATTGAAATGAAGACCTTATTTATTGTTTAATATATTAAAAGAGCCACAGACTTTGTATATCAAAAGTTATCATGTTTGAGGTAGGACTATAAAGCAGTAAGATTGACAAGCAGTTTAGAAAAATTGGCTTCATTATTTTATAGATACAGAGTCAACTGCTAGAATTCATACTGGACACAAGCACTGCCCAATCTTTCTTATACTCCCAATTTTTCAGTCATTCACCATTTACAGATTATAATAGCACCGTTCTTCACCTGCACTGCATACAAGCCTGACTGAAGCATTAGAAGACAGTCTGGATATCAGTATATATTTGTAAAGAAATCCTCAGAGTTCAAATTTGTTGCTGTCATTATTCCTTTATACTAAGGACTTCGCTAGCTCAAATTTTCAAATTCTGGAATGTCTTTAAAAAGCACATTTCCTTTTAGTTCATGAGATAAGTGTTAACAAAGATTTACATGAAATGCATTAAGCCCAAACCTCTAAAAAATGTATGCCACTGAAGTCCCTAAATTTCAGAAGATTCTGCAGGTAATGTGAATACAGATATTTTCTTGGTTTCTTGATTCTTGGTGAAGCAAGAGATTGCCGCTGTTATTTGTGCTATCCATGCTTTCTGTTAGAAAAGAAAAACACGTAAATAGAATGTTAAATGGATAATTTCATATTTGAATTAATATTTTCCCTTATATTTATTGACTTGCTCTTTAAAACTGAACAGTAGCATTTGCATATGTTTCTCATTTCTCTGTCTCGTGTTGTCTTAATGTAAGTACCTCTAGTCCGAAAGGAAAATGGAAATGGATTAAATGTGAGTAGTGTGTAAGTTGGCTAAACAGTCATGGGTAATCAGGGACCGTAGGAGTTGATAATGACTAATCAGAAAAATGAGTACTGACAAGAAGTTTGAAAGTTGAATTTCTTGAATCCCATTAAGAGACAGAAATTCTTAACCAGTGGTATAATTTGAAAAGCAGATTCTGAGGGAGATGACCCGGGAAATTGAGTTCTTGAGAATAACAGAATAATGCATTTATTGTCTGGCCATATTGTTGCTGTGATGGGAGACTACAAGGGGAAGGACAGAAATAGAAACTTCTAAATAGAGAAACCAGAGTCCAGCAGCTGCTCTTTCAGCCCCATAGCTGTGAAAACAATGGCGTACTTTCAGAACTTGAGGGGCGGACTTGGCATGGCTCACAATTGCACTGCCTGATACCACTCATGCGGATGGCACGTTATTTCCATTCTGGAAAATGAGTGGATTATCTTAAAAGCAGATCACGCAATGCAAAGCAATTCTTTCCCTCCTTCCTACAGAAACTGCAGAACTCAAAGGTAGCTCTTGCCTTTCTGCAACAGGAAAAAGCAGGACAGGCTATGTCAGCTCTGCAAATGTGAGGAAATTGGCATCCTGGAGGGTTCTGCACATGGTATGGACGAGGGGACCCCTCACTACGGACCAGTTGCTCTGCACCCTCACGTGGGTCAGGACAGTCCATAAAATCTTGCAGTACGTATGCCGTTATGTAGAGGCTTGGAATTTTTCCTCATATAAGTAAACTGAAGAATCAAAGAGCTACAACATTAAGATACATACTTTGACATTTTCCGTCTGGGCTTGTAATAAGAATGCTGCTATACACTGTCGGTATCTGTTTTCATGTTGCAGAAGAAAAGCATGTCTCAGTCCAAAGACTAGAAAAAGATATTACAAAGAGAAAAAGCCAAATGATTTAATATGAAATCCAAACAATGTTTTAGTACAAGAACCTGGGGTCTTGTGTTGTATTTTGGCTTCTGTTTATAATGAGGGTGGGAGATTTATGTAGATTACCAAGGATATAGTTCTAAGTCCAAGGCCAGGACTCCACTGCTGTGTCCAAACAAAGCCCACTTCAGTACAAAACCCCTTTTCCTCAGATAATGACTTCTGGGAGCTGATGAAATGCAATTTAAGCGATGGAAAATGGGCTGCACACAGAACAAGCTAGGCATGAGGGGGTAATTTTGTGCATGTGCCTGAAAAGGTAATTAAAATGAAAATACGGAAAAAGGTGCTTGCTTTTGTCCACTACTTATTGTAAATGTTTATTTTTGTATTTAAATAGAAGTTACAGCAAAAGAAGCCTTATACTCAAAGTGTAAAATTTCAAAACCACCTGAATATGCCAAGAAAAGATAGAAAACTGATTGAGAGAAAATGCGTTCTCCACCAAATTATGTGGAATGTGTAACAAAACACAACAAAGAGAAATGCATCGTTTCTGTATTGCAAAGGAAACGAGTGTGCTCTTTTGGTTTCTGGCTGATCTCAGAAATGACAGGAGTACTGGGGAGCAGATTCCTGTTTTTTTTTTAACATAGGAATTCTGAAATTGAAGTGTCCACCTTGATTTATTAATACAGCAGAAGGAATAAAATTCTGCAACTTATAGTCTTTCTGGAGTTCTTAATGTTCAGAATCAAACGGACAAACCAAAAAACCAAGCCAGATCTGTCTCCCAGTCCTATCAGATATGTTAGGGAAGAGAAAGGGCAAATGCCTTTTATTCCTGATGCTGCTTCAGAGTCACTGCTTTGTTGGTTTGTGAATTTTACTCTGGCTGATCTGAGGCAGGTCAAGCTTCATTTCGGAATCAAAGTGAACACAACACTTTTATTTTCGTAACTGCCAGAACTATTTCAGTACCACAGATTATACTCATAAGACTTTAAATCTCATAATTCTTAAATTCTGGTACAACAGATTAGTCAGTGTCAAATCAGAAAACACTCCAGTTTCCCTGGGATAGAAGACTAAAGCTATTAAAATGACTTTCTGGAAAAAGAGATCTGCCTGGGTTTCACTTCCTGAGTTTTTTCTGTTATAAACCTCCTGTGGCACACGAGGCTTTAAAGATCATGTTGTTCTTGGCTGGTGTTTGGAATCCATTTTCCTCGGACATCGAAGCCAGAGTTTGCCTTGGCACCCCTTGTTTGGATTATCATACGGGTTTAAGGGGCTTCATAAACAAATGGCATGGCATGCTGCGTGCTCAGGTCTGTAAAGTATAATCAGATGATACAAGTGGGAATGACTTTTTTTCCCTGACTTTCTAATGTAGTTACTAACAGAATTTTTAAGGCTCTTACTAGGTATTGGGCTCTACATTCTGGTTTTTTCTTTCTCTGTTTTGTGTCCTTTAAACCACATAGCAATCATATGACATAGGTCACCGAATTCCTACTTAGGAGAACTAGGAACCAGATGGGATTTGTACGGGATTTGGCTATGTCTGGAGTCAGGGCTCTGTCGTTCCAGGGCCGGGCCTCTCTGTGTCCCCTCCTTCTCCTTGCCACTCTGTAGCTGTCCTGCCTCAGGCACTTCACACAGACGGCCAACATTAGACCCAGGGAACAAGAAACGCATTTTTAAAAAAGGAACAAGACGTGCTAGTTACCAATCAGAAAAAAAGTGCAAGAGTACTGTTTTGGAAAGATATTTTCATTGATTTTTTTAGAAAAGAAACAGATGGGAAGCAAAGGTCCCCCAAAGTAATCCAGTGATGTCAGATTTTCCATAAAGTGCAGTTCTTGGGCTGACAGGGCTGTGCCTAAACCCACCCCTCAGCCGAGCTGTCTGCCTTTTCCGAATGGGGTTAGGGCATCTTCTTCCACTCATGATGCCAGAATCTTCATAGCTGCTGTAGTGGGATAGCGCACCCCTAGCACAGAGTGTCTGCTATAATACTTCCCTCACGAAAAAGTAGACAAATCACAACATGGAAGTGCTTCCAGGCCTTCACCCACAGAGCCCGTCCTTTCTGACACTACTCTGCCATCTGCCTAGCAGGGAGCTAGCTCACACTGGAAGCAGGTGCACAGGCTAGGAAAAACTCATTTTAATCTTGATTCTAAAACTTTGCAGACCTTGACCCATGCTACGTTTGGATGTCGAATGTCTTCCAAAGACCCAGATAGTAAAGGTTTGGTCCCCAGGTGGTGAGAGGTGGAGCCTGGTGGAACTATTTAGGTTGTAGGGGGTGTGCCTTCAAAAGGGATTATGTTTCCATCTCTCTCTCTCTCTCTCTCTCTCTCTCCCCTCTCTCTCTCCAGTGAGGTGAGCAGTTTTGCTTCTACCCTGTGCTCCTACCATGATGTTTCTTCTAGCCACAGCCTTAAAACAACTGGGCCAGCCCACTCTAAACTGCATGCTCCAAAACTGTGAGCCAAAACATACCTTTCTTTTCATAAGTCAAGTACCTCAGGGCTTTTGTTACAGTGACGCAAAGCTTACCAATACAGTCTTTTTAGACTGCAATTGATCCCGGCCAAATCAGACACAAAAGACTTTACAGCCCACCTGCCTGTGTCAACCTTCAGCAAATCTTACTGAAAGTAGAGAGAACAGAGGCTGTGTCTCTGAGCACAGGCTTTCCTTAGTGGAGCCCCTCTGCATTAGGGGAGACAGGCTGCATACATCACAAGCTAATATAGGGAAAACATTTCAGTATATTGGGTCTACAACTTAACTATATAGGTGTTTACTATTCATTTGTGTATTCATTTATTCATTAGTTAAGCTGCTCTAATAAGTGTGGGTCCATCTGTGCTAGGCACAGAAGCTTAGGCTGGGCCTCTGGGAATTGAGGGGATGCTATTTCTTGCCCCTTTAGGGAGACAGGAAAGCAGCTGCCCCCTGCCACTGGCCTGACCTGAGCTGGTATAGAAATCTCTACGTGAGGCACAGTGGCCATCTGCTTCCTCCTGAACTCTATACACCGCCAGCACCCCAAAGCTTGAGGGGACAAAATGGCTTTCAGGTCTCTCAGAGTCCTAGGGCTTTCCTGACTGAAGACTTACTGTATCTTTCATGATTCTGGGAGCTCCTAAGGGTAAGGAGTGTTTCTTATTCCATCTTTGTATTTCCAAGAGCTGCTGAGTGCCTGGCTTTTGGGTGACACTCAGGGAATGCTTGAACTAAAATTTAGAAATGTTATCTCTTTCTGATACACGTGTGAATAAGTGCGTACCTCATGTACACATGCATATCTATGTGCATCTATTTCTTCCTTTCTGGCATATTCCTTCCTATAGCATGATTGTAATGAAGAATCTTGTACATTCATAGTATATCATGCTTTACCAGTGCTTTACCAATAGCAATAATACTTAGAATGCTAATAGAACAAAAATACTAATAATAGCTATCATTTGCATTGTTTCACTTCCTTCCCATGAAAATTCACTGAACAGATATTATTATAACTATGCCCAAAGTGATACAGCTATCAAGTGACAGAACGGAGTCATGTAAGCATTGGGCAGCATAACTGATTCATAGAGTGAATGATGTATAATGTACAAGAACACAGCCTTGTTTTTTATGAAGACGTTACATTGGATTCATGTCTTGCTACCAAAAAAAAAAAAAATCGGTGTAAAACTGTGATGGCCAACAGGGGAGCTGAGTGATGGAAGCAGACACGTACCTGACACATGGAGTGGATCGATGCTTTTGACTACCAATCTGTCTAGTGGGATGGGTTGATCAAGTACCATACATGAACCACCCTCTTTTATTATGGTTTGCAGCTCAGGAGTAAGTGAAGGGCACAGTAAGCCAGTGTCTGAGCCTCCAAGTTTCTGAAATCAAAGAGGAAAATGATGCAGTATATTGGAAACAAATATTGGTGCATAAACCTCAAGTGCATCCTGAAGCAAATGGTCCTCAGAGACAAGTCTCTTGACGGCCAGCTCACTCTTTTTTTGGGGTCTTGGAAAGCATGGCCTCAGAGTACAGTGATTTAAAGCACAGTGTTTCTGATCTATAATTTCTTACTACCTGAATAAAGAATGGCTGGCACCCATAATTGGAAAATATTTTAATCCCTGTCACATCCCTGGGAAGATCTTCATTTCCGGTATCTTAATCCCTCTCTGACTGCCCTGAGTTGGGTGAATGAGAAAGAGAAACCTTATTTTGGCCAGTTCCATGTGTGGGATCTTGTATGAAACTGTAAATAGAGTCTATGCTCTATAATTAGTAAATAATTCAAATCGTTTTGAATATGTAAGATGGGGATTTCTTTGAAAAAGGTGTGGAAGATTGTGACTTGCATGGTATGTACACCAAATAGCAAAGAGGACTGTAAACAGACAGCATTCTTTATTTTGAAATCAAGTTGTGAAGCATGAAACCAGAATATTACCTGATTATGCAATCGATATGGGCTGCCACCAACCCATGGGCTCTGAGTTGTGCCACTTTTGAAGTGGAGGTGGGTTGTGTGGGCATCAACGTTTTTGAAGGGGGTAGCGATTTTTCAGAATTTGTTTTATTCAGACATGGTAGTCTGAGTAATTTAAAATGGGACACCACACAAATTCTGTAACGGTGACTGTCTATTCTCCAACACCCTCTCCCTCCCTAACCACCCATCAGGTAGCTATTCATAGATTAATGAGTGTCTATTTTATTGCTAAAAGGTTTTTTAAAAATTATTTATCTCAACTAACCAACCTCTCATCTAAAATCTTAGCTTATTAAAAGATAAATCACTTAACTTATGATATTATCTGTGCAAGTCTAGTCATTTGATAAGGAAATGAATGGAATAAAACAATATCAGGCATCTTTGATGGCTTAAGGTAGCTCACAAGGTATTTGTAACAGCTTCCCCACCCTGACCCTGGCCGCTGTTTTTGTACTGACCAGTTTAGAAGGGCCAATGTGGACAAAGATATTTTGGGGTTCCATGTGTATGCAGTGAGGCATAAAGTCCATGGTTTCTGGAACTTTCTTGAAGATATACAGACTAAGTAGCTGAAAAAAATGTATATCTCCCTTGGTATTCTCTCTCTCTCTCTTTTTTTTTTTTTTTTGTCTTTTTCAGACAGGGTTTTGCTATGCAGTTCAGCCTGGCCTTGAGCTTACTTTGTAGCTCAGGCTGGTCTTGAACTCGAGACGATCCTCCTGCCTCAGCCTTCCAAGTGCTGGGATTACAGGGCATGTGCCACCATGTCTGGCAATATTGTTAAGAAATATAATTTGCTTGTTATTTATTTTGCTTTATTTTTAGAGGGTGAGACCCATTTGGAAGTACTATATGGATGTTCATAGTACTAACAGAGTTTGGTTAGAAGTAGAGCCAAGCTCATTTAGAAACATCTAGAAATAGCAGCCTTTTACCTTCTTGTTGCGCTTCGTTTTTGTAACTAAGAGGAAGTCGTCAAACAGAAACAGGAAAACATCTAGGAATCTTGCGCTTTCTGAGGAAAGAAGGAGACGGTAAGATGGGGACTTGAAAGAGTAAGTGGAACTTTTATAGGTTGAAGAATCCCTTAAAGAACAAAGCAAAGAATCCCGAGGGGGTGTGTAAGAAAACTGTGTCAAGGTTGAATTGATTTTTTTTCTAAAGCACAGCCTTGGTTAGAGCTCAAGCATCCAACTTGAAAGACCTTGCATCCGTGATGCATTTCCAGTTGATCAAAGGTAGCTTCTGTGGTATTTGTAAAGGTTTCAGCTAAGCTGAGGACAAATCCATCAGTTTACAGAACTTGCACCAATTGGCCTCTTGACTCATCTACACGTTCATGAGAGAAAAGGCATTTGGTCATTTCTTAGGCTAAACTGTATCTTTCCAATTCATAGGTTGAGCCCATGATCCCCAGTATGGCGGTATCTGGAGGAAGGAAATAAGATAAGGTACAATGAGGTCATGCGCATGGAGCCCCACTCCAACAAGATTAGTGTCCTTACAGGAAGCGTCACCAGGAGTTATTCTCTGTCATGTGAGAACAGAGCCAGGAGACATCTGTACGTCAGGAAGGGAGTCCTGGCCAGAAACCAGTAAGACCCAAATCTGGGATTTCCTGCCTTCCATCTGTGAGAAATAATGTCTGCTGTTTGAACTGCTCAGTCTGTGGTTTTTTTTTTTTTTTTATTTTAAAAATAAAAGGAGGCAAACATTAACAGACAGACGACCTTTTACAAAATAGCAAAAGAACAGTACAGACAATACAGCGTTACAAACAAAGTGGTAGGAAATTAAGTCAGGCAGGCTACTTATTTCTTATGTGTGACAGTGTATATACAAATGTTTAAATATTCTCCATGTACCTTTATGTTTACAAAGTTTTCTTTTTTGATAGTTACTTTAGGCAACTAAGAAAAGATAGTTAAAGATAGTTTTCTTTTTTGATAGTTACTTTAGGCAACTAAGAAAAGAAAGAAAAAGTCCCTAAGAAAGAAAAAAGGAGTAGGAGAGAAATTAAATATTAGATAAAGTATCCAGGTCCTCATTTTATTTCTCGGGAATTAGAAAACTAAATGGCTCAATTTAGGTGACTTCAGAGAAAAGGCAGCCTGTGTTTAGAGGGAGAGGTCATAGGTACTTAGGGAAGTTATGGGAAAATATAGTCATCTTTTTTTAGCTTGTTCTAATTAAGTTGCTTATTTATATTATTCTGCTTTTATCCCCAGGAAGTAGGTGGCAAAGTTTAAATGAATAGATAATATATTTAGGATTCACTTCTATTTTATCTCATTAAGATTTGAGGAGGGGTCCTTTCTACATTTGTTCAGATAAGAAATTAGATAGTACATTCAATTTGAATTATCCATGAATATTTTTAAAGAATTATTTTCCATGACAATTAGAAACTTTCCTTTTCATAGATTTGCCACAAACTCCTGTTCATCCCTCAGAACCCTTTCCTTCTTTTTCAGGAGCCTCCTGAGTTTTAGTGGACACACATCTACAGAAAATAAAGATTGTATTGAAGCCCTTATAGCTGAATATGACCAAGGATCTAAATCCTGACCAAGACAATGTAAGCAAGTTTTCAAGTTCTGCCTCATACCCTTGAGGGGCAGGACTAGGCCCTCTCATCACTTCTCTCCTTCTCCTTGGGGCCGGAGAATGCAGACACACCAGTCAGTCAGCTTGGACCACACAGAAGAGAGCGATACCCAAGGGATGGTAATAGAAGAATGTGCGTCCCTGATAGTTTTGTGCAGCAGAGCTCTCATTTTGCTGAGGACATAGGATAGAAAAAAATCTTAATCTTTTAAAAAGTGATTGCTATCTGTCTGTCTCCAGTGGCTGAATCTATATCCTGACTACTAGTAAGGATATGAATGGGACACTTGAACCACACTAGATCTTTGTCTGAGTTAAGTCAGGTCACCATAGCCGAATATCACGCATGAGGTGGCTCAAACAATAAAATTTATTTCTCACACTTCTGAAGGTTGGGACGCCCCAGTGCAAAATGCCGGCCAGTTTGCTGCCTAGCAGGAGCACTCTTCTCAGCTTACAGAGGGGCACCTCCTGATTCTTAATGGGCCCTCACATGGCAGAAATCAGAGATGGAGAGACAGAGAGACAGAGACACACAGAGAGACAGAGACAGAGAGACAGAGACAGACAGAGACACAGAGACAGACAGAGACAGAGAGAGGCAGAAAGAGACAGAGACAGAGAGACAGAGAGACAGAGAGAGAAAAAGAGATGGAGAGAGAGATAGAGAAACAGAGACAGAGACACAGAGAGAGACAGAGACAGAGAGAGAAAGAGAGAGAAAGAGAGAGATCTGGTGTTTTGTCTTATAAAGACACAAACCAATTAGACCAGGACTGCACTTTTATGACCTTGTTTTATCCTAACGATTTCCTCACTATGAATACTTCCACACTGGGGTCAAGGTTTCAATACATGAATGGGGTGGGGGGGTTGAGAGTTCAGTCCGCAGCAACCTTCAAAACCTGCTAAGTTTGTTTTCCCACCCTCTGCTTCTTGCACAGCTTAATGATCACTGTCAAAATGAAGTAGTTCTTAGTTGTCTTCTTATTGTTTTTTTTTTTTTTTTGGTTTTTCTCCCGTCCCAGGAACCGAACTCATGACCTTGCACTTGCCAGGCAGGCGCTTTGCTGCTGAGCTAAATCCCCAGCCCCTGTTGCCTTCTTATTTTCAAGTATTTCATTTTAACAAACAGGTTACCAGCACCTTCTTGGTGACTTTATCCTGGGAAATGATGATTATTTTAGTCACCATTTAGGAAAGCCCGAATGTTCCACCAAGGATTCAGCAAACAGATGGACTATGCACTGATGATTAAGACAGTATTCCTGCCTTCAGGGAGCTTTAATTCTAGGGGGAGCAGGTGCATAATCAGTGTGTAAGCAAGATTTAAAATAAGATAGACTTAGACACTGGTAGTGCTAGGGGAGAAAAACGGGTAATCTCAACGGCTGAGGAGGAGCAGAAAAGCAGAGCATCAGGCTGTTCACGTAGCTTCCCCGGTGGGAAGCTCTCATAGGTGACTCTGTTCTGCTTCCTTAATGGACACTGAGGGGGGAATGAGGATCAAAACATGCTGCACAACCTGACCTGGGGTTTACGCGTTTGTGCAGTTTTATCCCCACTCGGTCTTTATTTTTCTCGTGGATTCTGCGCCGTGTGCGGCGTGGAGCAACGTTGCTGCCATATTTCCCTGCGGCTGCAGCTCGAGCAGCATGTGACCTGTAGGTGTCGCAGGTACGGGATCCCCCTGTCTGTCTGAATCCTACTTACTGTTACAGTGCCAAACACCCGTTCATAGGAGCCCGAGTTCCACAAGTTAAGAAAACTAGCTACCTCGGGGAGTGAGAAAATACGCGTACTTGTTTGAACCACCGCAGTGTTTAACACTGGCAGAAGTTTGGAAACATTCGTAGGGTTTTGTCATCGTCATCATCATCACCAGCATTTAGAGAGGAGAGGAAAGGAATTCAAACACTCTCCCGAAGTCCACACTGTCTGTAGATCCCCTGTTGTTGTTCTGTTCTGTTTGTTTGGTGTTGGGCATCGAACCCAGGCCCTTGCACATGCTAAGCACGAACTCTTCCCAGGAGCCCAACCCCTCAGCTCTGGGATTCTTGGCTCAGTGGCTCCCCACATCGTATTTCTTCTAATACTGCCTCATCAGACTTGTACCCAGCTCTAAGTCCAAGTCCCACTGCTTTCAAACTTGATACGATGCCCCATTATGTAGTGCCTCCTCTTTGCTGGAATTTGGCCAATATAGAGTGTGCCATTCAACAAGGTGAGTGAGTGTTTATTATACACCAGATCTTGACCCAAGTTCCTCCCGTGAGTCATTTTGCTTTAACAAGTTTTATGAGGGGCTGGGGATTTAGCTCAGCGGCAAAAGCGCTTGCCTGGCAAGCGCAAGGTCGTGAGTTCGGTTCCCGGTACCGGAGAAAAACCAAAACCAAAAAAAAAAAAAACAAGTTTTATGAGCTACCTCTCCACTTTATAGAGAGAAATTGGAGAGTACATGGCTACACTGTGAGTTTTTGTTTAACTGGAGGCTCCCTGTTTGCTTGTTCTATTATCTTGCACCCAGGTAAACAGAGTTTCTTCTGCCCTTTAAATAACAACAGTTGAATGAGTTGAAAGGTAGCAGAGATAGTTTTTGTAAAGCAAGCCATTATTTACCTGCAAGAGTTAATTTCCCTTCATAGAGAAGGTGTCTGCTGGTTGGTGACAAGATGTTTTCTGCCATGTGTTCTTTAAAGATGTGTTTCAAATACTTGCAAAACAAGGGAGAAAAGAAGAGACGAAGTTAGTGATTGAAAGTGAATGGGTTCAAGGAGCTGGGGCGATCAACTGCATCTAGAAATTTCCAGATTTTTAGAAACACAGTACCAGAAAATAGACATAGGGATGGGAAAGAGTGGGCAGACCTCTCAGAAGGACCATCCTGAGAATCCCAGCCTCCCCATACACAGAGCCATATGGATGGGCCTTTCCTCTTGTTCATAAAACTGGATTTATTGCTCAAGTGGATAGCTGGGGACTTCCTAAGACTATTGTATTTCTACCTGAATGCCAGGCTTCCAGAAAAGGACATAAATCTCATTGATGTTTTTGGTACCTCTGGAATGAAAAACCTTTTATCTCTGTCCCAAAGCGGAGGCCACACTATAATCTCCTGTAGATGTCTAAATTTTTGGAAATTGTCCAGCCATTTCACTTTTCCTTCAAGATCCCCTGAAAAACAAGATACATCCAGCATATTTTTAAATGCATGTAATACTACAGCATAAATGTAAGCAACATCCGCAGTAATCATTTAAAGATACTGACTGTCCCTGGAGCCAAACCATAATTATAGTTCATTTGACATATTTCTTGCTGTGTAAATATCTGAGAAAACTCATTAATTTGAAATCAACCTCTTGCAGTTTTCTGTTGCAGAGAAAAACAATACTAATGAAGCTCTCAGTAATTTTTTTTTTTTAATTTTATGCCTCATACCACACATAGCCTTCAAGTAGAAGAAGGAAAAAAGTATTGGATTCTTGTCCTGATCATAAAGCAAAACTCTTTTCATGTAACAATATTTCTTTTTGGTAAGAATTTAATCTGTCCTTGGAAGATTTGAGTTAATTTTCCAATAATATATTGCTGTTGTGGTTTTGAAGTGAATTTTGAAAATATGAGAACAAATTATAGGCCTATAAAATCTTATAGCTGGTTGAACGCTTGAGAAATTTTCATCTTTAAGAAAACAGACTTAAAGAAAAGCCACCCAGATCTGTTCCTTCCACAATGAGAATCCATATTTTATTGAGAAATCTCTAGAGGATTTGCTTTTATCCTCTTCATAAACATCCAAATGAGTAATAATCCTTAAAATTATTTTAGAAGTTTCAGAAAGTGGTCTTTAGTTGAATTTGTTTCTCATTCACTTGATAGACTTAATTCTAATCCCTTAGATCATTTTGGAAGTTGAATAAAAAATTGAAAAACAGGACAGACCCCTACATTAAATTGTTACTTAACTTTTAAGTTTACAAAGGAACACAAATACATAATTTTCTGTACAGTGGGCGACTACCATTTTGTGCTGTGCACCTTGATGGCCACCAGGAAATCTTACTTTATGGACAAATACCATGGACTTTTTTTGTTTGAATTTCAGTTATACAGAGTTACATAAATAAGCTTAAACTTTACTCAGTTCTCTTTCCTTAATTTCAGTTTTAAAGATTGCAGTTGGCATAACATTAACACTGGATTTCAGTGAAAATGATGAATGGTAATTTATCCTCTGGACAGTTTCCATGGTGTTAACTCCCATTTGCTTTGTGCCTGGGTTCAAAATGGACGTCGACGACAAAGTAACGTCAGTCATCTTGGAAGCAGGACTTTTCCTGCCTGAACTCACTTCTGAAAGCCTTGGAGACAGAGCCATGCCCTCTGTAAACTTGATCTTAGAGTTCCCATCAGTTTGCCAGGATGTTATTGGAACCCATTGTTTTATGTGTTTGGTTTATAATGGACTCGAATATAGATTCTATTTCCGGGTCATGACCTCAAGTCAATGGAATTACCTTCTAGGATGGAAGCCCAGATGGGAACTACAGGGCTCCCCAACTTTTTAATCAAGCTCACATATCTCAGAGACTTACGAAGAGACTTCTCCACCTTCTCCTTGATGGAGTAGATCATGATTTTCTCAGTAGAATCTGTACTTCTTTTCCAGATGTTCTTCAGCAGCAAAGGATACCGGGTAAGCCTGTGGAGTGGGGCCACCAAAAGCTCAGGCAGATGAAGTCGTCTGCACTGTTCATTTTGCTCACACCACTGAGAAAGGCAAAAGCAGACATAATCAGCACAGCACCTCTCCTATCCAGGCGCTAAGAAGCTGGGACTTGAGAATTTCTTAGGTTTTACTCAGTAACAACAGGATGCACCTGTGAGCTTGCTGGGAACATTCATAATCTATGAAAGATCCTCTGAGTTTTGAAAATTCCATATTAAACTCTCGTTAGCAAATCTCTATCGACCAGTACCAAATCCAGAGTCTGAAACTGGGTTCTTAGATGTAACTAAGAAGTACGATTGAATGTTATTCACTAATTTTACTTTCAGCTGATGAAATTACAGAATCATTTCTCTGATGTTCTGCCTTAGTAACACTACTACTCAATCCTCCTAAAGGGGGAAATGTGTCAAGATTTAATGCACAAGGAAAGTTCATAACTCATTAAATCATGCTTCCCTGATTGCACGTTCTGTGCATGGCAGTGACAGACGTATGAATATCTGTTCCAGCCTGTTTACCCTGGCTCTTGAGAGAGATTTCTGGTTTCCCAAGCTTTGTTCACACCCTTGTTTTGATGCATTTAAGAGAGCTGAGAATAACTACTGGGGATGTGGAAAGGAAGAGGACGCAGTTTTGCTAGGTGGGTTAGTTCCTTGACTCTGCTTTGCTGGGAAACATAAGGGTAATGATCAAAAATAAAAAAAAAGAAAACAGAAGATGAAGGTGATGGGTTGATTTAAGTGACAGACAACAGATAGGAAAGAAGAAAGAGACAATGACAGTTTTTAATAGGCAGAGTTTGGAGGTGGGGTTTTGGGAAATGTGCAGTATGGAAGCAATGGTGGGAGATAGTAGGGGAATTTTATTAAGTATTACTATGGGTCATGCACCGGTGTTGTAGAAATGATATCTGAGAAACACAAGTGAACACGAGTATAGCTTTTACATTACATTTGTTTTTATCTGTTGGCTGTTTCTTTGAATGTGACACTTCTGAATGTCACACTGAATACAAGACCAGGCTTTTATGAAATACAGAGACAGGTCACTGGCAGCTATGCATAAAGGTCCATTTGGAAGTTGTATTGGGCATGCGCTCTCTCGTCTATTATTGCACTAAGACTCACTTGATCAGAGTTCCCAAAGGAGTTTATTTGGACAGAGTGTTTGTATTCTTTAGGATTTTAAGTACATAAAATGCACTAATTTTAATGTGTTTTAAAAAAATATATATGTATATCTGTTTACAACACTCACATCAAGATACTGAACAAAAATCTTACATATGAATGCCACATAGAGTCTCTTAAATGTGAAATATCTTGTAATATCCTTATTTCTGCCTAATAAAAATGCTGCTCTCCATTTCTATGACCTAAAGAGTTTCTATGATCTTGCAAACCTTTTAATTTTTGTTTTCACAAATGTGAGTGTCTCAGATCAGAGATTTATTTTTTTAACTCAATCTGGATCTTATTAATTGGGAATTTAACCAGTGTATGAGTTTAATTCACCTCCATTTATGTCAACATTTTTATGTGTTCCTTGGTGTTTTTCTTTTACTACTTTTTCTCAGTTTTTGTTTTTGTTTTTTTCACTTCTTTTCAAGTCAAGAAACTTTGAATGTTTATATTCTATTTTTGTCCACAACTTGATGAAAAATTGGCTCTATGAACCCCTATCTAATGTGGTAATTGGTTTTCCCAATTGAATATTTCAAATATATCCAATCCTCTCCAACCAGTGCTTTGGAAAATTTCCCCTTACATTATCAGTATTAACATTATAAACTTGTTAATCTTTTTTTTTTTTTAAGGGGAACAAAACTGTACCATTTTCCAATTTTGTCAAATTAACAGAGTGTCTTTACTGTACTTGTCCTGTCCGCAGTGACAAAGCAATTTTACCTGTGTAATGCACATTTGGCTTAACAACATACATCTTTATCTATAATATTACATGGCAAAACTAAAACAGTGTTTCTTTGCCAATGCACTGAAATTTGGCATGCATTTCCACAGTTTAAAACTGCATAAACTGAGAATTTTAGAACTAGCTTACAAATCTATTTTGCATTTAGGTTTATTACCCCATATGTAACAGTGTAAGATGTCATGTTTCTTAACTAGTTTTAATGATTTCCAGCAATCCTTTCCTACAATTGTCTTCCTACTTTCTAATTTTTCTGTTGGCTGCAGTAAATGATTCAGCAAATGTTTCAGAGAAGCTTCTTGGGTGATAGACTTTATAACCCCTCAGTATCTGCAAATGTCTTCCAGTGGCCTTCATACTGAAATACTAACTTGGCAGAGGATATAATTCTTGGTTCCAAATTATTTTCCCTTAAAACTCTGTAGATGTTGTTCCATTGTCTTCTGGCATTGAGAATTGCAAGAGAAAAACCTGAGATTAGCCTGCCTTCTGCCCTTTTATAGGTAACCTGTGTTCTCTGTCTGAATAGTTGTAAAATTTTCTCTTTACCCTTGAAATTAAGAAAGGTCACCAGGGTATGTCTAGGTGTTGCTTTTTTTTTTTTTTTTTTTTTTGGTTTTTCTCTGGTACCGGGAACCGAACTCACGACCTTGCGCTTGCCAGGCAGGCGCTTTGCCGCTGAGCTAAATCCCCAGCCCAAGGTGTTGCTTTTTTATCATTAAATTTTAAAGGTAGCCCATGAGTCTTTTGCATTTGCAGGCCTACTTCATTCCTCAACTCTGGAAATTTTCTTCAATTTATTGATTAATTATTGTTTCAGTTTTATTTGCTTTGTCATGTGTTTCAGGTTCTGCAGTACCTTGGTTTGTGATTCTGGTGAAGATGGCCTGGGTCATGTTCATTACCTGATGTGGAGTTTGTGAACCAAAGTGAAATTTTGCCTGATGAACAGAAGTGTTTGTGAACCTGGGTATGACTGTATTTATGTGTAGAGTAAATCTCCTGGACAAGTTCTTTATATCTCTCTTTTTCATGGTTGAATTTCTTTGCTGTTTTGCTCTGCATTCTATGAGAATTTCTCTTGTTTTGTATTTATTTCAGTAATTTTCTTTGCGACTGACCTTGCTTAGCATGGTTTCTTTAACTCTCTAAAGTCTGAGAAATCTTCCATGTGTTCTAACACCACCTGCTTTAAAGTTAAGCGTTGACAGGTAATGAACTCTTTTATATGATGTTCAACATTTTTTAGATCATCTCTGGAGACTGTTACATCAGTTTCAAGAGACTGTAGTTTCTCAGTTACTTAGCTCGGTTCCCTTCTTCTGAACTGTGGTATTAGGACCTTTTCAATAGCTCTTCTTTGCAATGGGGTCCAAACACACAGCCTTACTGGAATATTTGTATCCTGGTGTGATGGTTACGGTAGACTGTCCACTTGATTGGCTTGGGGGTTGTTCTGGGGATTAGTACAGCACACTGTGTCTGGGTAGTTTGTGGAGTTGTAACCTTGATGACTATGTCTGGTCCTTCACCCCTTCCTTTCTGGTGTTGTTGCCCTGCTGTGCTTCCCTGTCCCTGAACTAAGCATCTTTGCCCCACCATGCCCTTCTGCATGATGCTCCTGCCTTGGAGTCAGCTGACCATGGACTGAATCCTGTGGAACTGTGAAAAAATAAACCTTTCCATCTTTAAATTGTATGTGTTTGGTGTTACTTCCCAACAATGGGAGAGCTGACTGGTATACCCATTAACATCCATTTGTTGATATTCTAACCCCTAATGGGATGATATTAGGAGGTAAGGCTTTTGAGACATGATTGCATCATAAATATGGGGTCCTTATGAATGGAATTAGTGCCCTTATAAAAAAGGCCTCAGAAAACTGTAGTTCTTTTTTCAGCATGTGTAGATATAAAACAGCACTTGTCTACAACCCAGAAAAGGGTCCTCCACAGAATCTGTCATGTTGATTAACTAATTAGGATAAAATGTCAACAGTTTGGAGGAGCATGCTTCTGGGTATGTGTGGGTGGGTCAGCAAGGTATGGTCTTGGGATCTATGTATGGCCTCTGGCCCTTTCTTCTTGATCCTGTTCCCTTCACCTGCTTCCCAGCCACCATCAGTTAAGCACCTTTGTTTTGTCATGCCCTCCTGCCATGATGTTTCTGCCCTGGAGCCAGCTCACCACATACTGAATTCCTAGAAATTGTGAGCGAAATTAAACCTCTCCTAAGTTGTGAGTATCAGGTATTATGTCCCAGTGACAGGAAAGCTGACAAATACACACCCTGACCTCAGAATTTAAGACTCCAGAACTGTAAGAAAGTAATTTCTGTTGTTCATAAGCTATCCATCTATGGCTGTCTGCTATAGGAGTCCAGGTTGACTACAATAGGCATCCTATCCTTACACTCAATATTAACCTTGCTGTACGGTATTGCCTCATTTCTGCCTTGCATTCTCTTGTGGATTCTTCTGCCTTGTGACCTAGACCCTTCAGGGCTATCCTTAAGTGGGCCAGGTATACTGTGGGTACTCCTTCTGTTTCCTCCAAAATGTTTTTATACCCAAATACCAGTTGTTGCATTTCAGAGATCTATGTATAACTGACTCATATTCTCACTAAGCAAGTGGTCCAAAGAAATTCAGACCTCTCTGGATATTCACAAACTTATGGAGACTGAGATTCTAATGGATCCATCTGGTCCTGTTTCTACTTATGCTAGTTCTGTGCATACTGTTTTTTCCCTGAACAGCTTGGATCAGTCATAGTCCTCTATCTTATTTTCAGTTGCTGTCATATAACACCTGAGATTGGGTAATTTATAAAGAAAAAATTTACTTCTTACAGTTCTGAACACAAGAAAGCCCATGTGCAGGGGCTGCATCTGTTGAGCACTTTTTTGCTGGTGGTGACTCTTTGCAGAGTTCCAGAGTAGTACAGGAGATCCCATAGTGACACAGAGCAGAGAAGGCTGGTTTTTATAACAGTGCCACTCTTGTGCTAACTCATTAGTCCACTGACTTATATGTGGATTAATTCTTTCATATGGACACAGCACTCGTGAGACAATCCCTTCTGAAAGTTCCATCTGGTCTCACCTCTTTAATGCCTCATACTAAGAATTAAATTTCAACATGGACTTTGGTTCAGACTTTGGTTGGTTTCCTATGTTAGTTTCCACAATAAACCCTCTATTGCCGAAAGTTTTGTGAATGTGTATATTCATGTTACTGAAGATCTGGGAGTTGTGGGAAAGGGTTCAACATCCCTTCCCTGATTTTCTGGCTCCATTCTCTTCACTGGAAAGAGGGCTCAGAGAACCCTGCAGCTCTCTCCACCACATGAAGATATGAGAAAGTTGTAGTCAACAGCCCAGCGAAGGGCCCTCACTAGAAACCCACTCACTGTGCTGGCAGTTCTTTTTCTCTCTCTCCTCACTCCACACCCTCTCTTTTTCCTCCTAACCTCCTGCTTAGCAACCTGCACTTGTCTTTCACAGCCTGACCACGTCCACAGGTGAGTGGCTGGAGTATCTCACTCTGCCACCCCAACAGCTTTATCAGAATATTTCTTTTGAAAACATGCAGGGCTCTTGTTCACAGGAGTCTTGCTGAGTACACTCTTCTCCACCCCTTACATACAGATCTTGGATCATGCCAGTGAGCCTGGAGGTGTAGGGCGTGGACCTCCAGGAGCCCAGCTACCCAGGCTACCTTCCCTTCTCTGCACCCCAGACTCCTCTTCAGTGAAAGGTGGTGGGCACTAGATGATCCCATCCATCTTCAATGGCTATGGTTCTCGTTGGGGTTGGAATTGATGGGGAAGGAAGCAGGAGCTACAGCTGGGGGAAGGCTGGAAGGTGAAGGTGGAAAGAAGTGAGAGTTGGGATGGTTACCGCTTCAGTGGCTGATTTCTAGGCTGCCTCATCCACATTCCAGTGATACCTGTGGGCCCTCTGGGATGGCTAGAGAGCTTCAGTAACTGATTCCTCAACAGCAGTTAGGGATCCTCTCCAAACACACAGCCCCAGGCCACTGCCCTGAAATGTCAGCTGTGAGGAAGAGCTCTGACTTCTACCACTCACTGGTGGTCAGGGAAACATTGAAAATACCCAAATTCTTGAGTATCAAGCCCACAAGAGGCATCAGTGGTAAATAATTCACATAAAGATTCAGGGAAGGATATCAGAAGCCTTTAAAGCTTTGGAAGCCTCAAAAGATTGGAAAAAACTTGGTTGACAACTATGAAAGCAAAACGATGTTTTTCTTTCATCTCTCTATTGGCTTCATCTTTCAGATCCATTAGGGAAATCAAAGAACAAATGTAACAAGAGAGATTGGACATAAAAGGCCTTTCCAGTGATGGGCCTAGATCAATGAAGGCTACTTTTATTTTATAATAAATATCCAATGTGTTTAAGGGAACAGCAAATGGAGTTAGGGTCACAAAATGTTCTGCTAATAAATCTGTCTTGGTGGTACACAACATTTGACTGAGGCAGCCAATATCCTTGGAACCTTGGGAAGCTAACCTCTCCAAACCTTATCCTCCAAACATAGATAGTAAGAGTGACTGCTCCATTGTGTTAATGAGAACCCATGCCAAGTTCATACAACAGTGCCTGGGACATCTAGAAACACCAAGCCCAAGAGTTCTTACATTCTTGGCTATTGTTAATTGAGCTACACTAAGAGTCCTGGTACAAAATCATGTCTCTCCCTCTATATCTTTCTAATTGAAAGTAAAATAGTGGGAAGAATCTTACTTGCAGCAAGATTCACCAGGGTGATTTCTCTACATTCATAACACCCAGCTTCTCATGGTATGTGGGGCATATTCATTCCAGTGCATTCAAAGTTCCGTTTTTGGCAACATATAACTTGACATGATTTAAGCTCTCTGAGAAAAGTATTAATAGCAGAGTATAGATGGGAAATGAGCATCAGCTTCAGAGGCCTGAATTTGAACTTACCCTATACCTCGGAACAACCATGTTACAGCAAGTTGCCTAATATGTCTGAGTCTGAAAAATGGGGATAATATTGGTTCACAGAGTCTCTGTGTAGACAAAGAGATCACAGATGTCCACCCTGGAACACAGCGCCTGGCTCACTGGAAGGACTTAACATCCAGCCACTTAACATGGGTGAGGATGCTTTCGTTGTGTGTGGTGGGGACGTGGACGGCAGATTCCTTTTTGGCTTCTCCAAGGTTTTTCCCTCACCCTTCCCTTTTGCTTCATGGAGCCAACAATTGCCTGGAAGTAGCTCTGAGGAGTTGGAAACAGTGCTACTGTATTGACTTAAAACTTTTAAAATTAATTTTAACTGATGCATAAAACTGTACATATTTATGGGGTACCATGTGATTTTTCAATACATGTATATCCATAATGTAATGTTCAAATAGGACTTAACATATCTATCTTTGCCTAGAGGCCTTTATTTGGTTCTGTATTTACCACTTACCAGCTATGTGCCCTGGCAAGTGTCCTATAACCTTTCTGAGTTTCAGGGACATGTGGAAACAATATAATCAACTTCAGAGGTTTGAGCTAAGAATGTGGAAAGAAGTTGGATGAAGTGCGTGGTAAATCCCTGTGCATTATAAGAACATCAGGGGTATCACGCTGTGCCCTGATAGCCTTGCAACCTTTACCTGGAGATCTTTGGACGCTCTGTGTGTTTCCTATATGATATAACCACCCTTCTATATCAGCCTATTTCAAGTAGGATTTTCCACAGCTGTTTGAAAAGTATGGCTGGACCTTGTGAAATTAATCTTTCTCTGAGCTTGGAAGGGAGAGAAATGGACCCTATTCTCTCCACTTTGAGAGCTTAGCTAAGAATCTCACCTCGCAGCTTCCAGGGAAAACATTTGCTGTGTGATTATTCTATGTGTTTGGAAATCTAGTGAGCTTTCTGGCTCTAGTGTGAGTAGCAAGGAAAATTTTGGGAGGTTGGAGCTACAGAAATAGGGTCTGGCCTCTGTCCTAACATTCCTGATTGCTCATCCCCGCCACACCCACCGGGCTTCGTGACACATCGAGGCCCCAGCAAAGGCCCTTGGAGTTCCAGCTGAGTCACTGGGAATGAGTGAGACTTTGCTTTCAAGTGTCTGGGGAGAAGCTCTGGCAGGGGCTTCTAGAAATGCAGGGAAGAGCTGGGTTTCTGGGAAGGCTTGGGCCATGTTCCCTGGGTCATTCAAAAGGACTCTGGCACAGTACTGAAGTGATATAGTTCACACTAAAGAACTGTCAGGAGGGAGGAGCAAGTCAAAGACGCTGAACAAGTCAAGGCAAAATGGTCACTGTTTTGCTTATTTGCAAATACAAAAGGCCCCAGCAGAAAGTCCTTGTTCTAGTGCTTCCCAGAGCTTCTGGTTGCACAGTTCAGGGGCACCGCTTACATTGTGTCCCATGAACTCCAGGGGGCGCCGTTCACATAGAACGCAATGCAAATGGCACTCTCTAGTTTTTATGCAATAGGATTTGGACCAAATCCTACAGGAGCCAAGCTTCTAGTCCCCAACAGAGCTTGTATTCTTACAGTAGTTTTCTCCATACAACTTGCCAGTTTCTATGATAAACAAACCAATGCCCCAAATCAAACATTTTAAACCCTTAGCCAAAATTTCCAGAGGGATAGTATGTATTATGCTCCCAGATGTGCACCAATCAAAATTCCTGTTTGCAGTGGAGGATGTGTTTGTGAGAAGAACAGAAAATGTATCATAAATCATTAATCTTTTTCTTTCCCATTTAATTTGGCATAATAACTCTCTATCTGTTCTACCCAAAGAGTGGTAGGAAAGCTACAAAAGAAAGTAAACCGGTACTTTACTTTTAAGTAAATGCCAAAGTCATCTCTCTGCCTCAGGGTCTCCAGATAAAAGACGGCAGCAGAGTAGTTCAGGCAGTACATCTGGTGGCTCTGGCAGAGGCTCCCACGGAAATACTGCAGAGGAGACCAACAGGAGGGAATTAGGGGGGGCACAGAGTCCCCGCAGACTTCCTCTTTCTCTTCATTGTTATCACTAACTAAAAGAGGGAAAAATGCAGGAGCCACCCTGACCATGCAGGAGCTATGGCTGTATGGATATAAACAGGCAATCTCCACAATAAACCATCTTCTAAAGAAATATGGTGGCCCCATAATAGAGTTACACCTCAGTGGATAGCCCCCCATACTTAACGGAAACTCCATTTAAGATTTTAATTCACTTCTCTCTTCTACCTTTGACTCCATTGTCCCTGTTAGTGAATGTTAAGCTCATGTTGATATTAAGTGATTGATTAATGACATTTAACTTTTCATCATATATTCTCAAAAATACTCATAAATTTGATTGTTTTGCTTGCTTAAAAATATAGGAGCTTGGAACATCTCAGTGAAGTGTTCTGTTTTTGGTGGCATGCATTTTTTTAGTAGTCTTACCCAATCTAACACTCATCTTCTCTTTTCTTCAGTATTCTTATTGAATGCCTTAAGCTTGCCATGATGACTACACATTTGTAAGCCACCTTAAATTCATTTTATAATAAGGCCAATTGTCAATTTTTCTGTATGTATTAATATATTTAATGATCAAATGCCACATTGTACAACATGCTACCAATTCAGTTAAATGCTTCCTCAGGGGATGATGGTTATTCTGTTGTCCTTAGCAGTACTTCTGCCTCATTACCGCAGACATGTCCTTTAGGGTCCCACAGTGTCTACCTTGTTGCTAAGCCCTGTGCCCACAGATGGATTTATTGATCAATTGAATATCATGGATCCCATGAGGGAATTTCCAGTTGTATCAAAATGAGGTGGAATCAGAGGAGGGACACACTTACTGGAAATACTAGAGCATCAGTGAGTAGAGGAAGCAGACCCAGCCTAAGAGGCCACTAAAGGATAGGACAGTAAAGAAATCAGATATAACACAAATCTAGGAAAATATTTTGTTGTGGGGCCTCTGAGAACAGAATGCTCTAGAGAGCAACACCGAGGTTTTGGCTTCCACCAGAAGTAATTTTAAAGAAGATATGAGTTCATTTTGGAGGATATGGGTTGATGGCTGGGCAAAGACGACTTGAAGGTGGAAAGAAATTCTTCCCTCGGACACTGTAGTGCCTGAGAAATGCCATCCCCAGGAGCCCACTGCTAAGAGGCCAAGGCTGAGTAATTAATGGTCTGGTTTAGAAACTCAATTTCAACACCCATTAGCTAGAGGACCTTTGCTACATCGTCTTCCCTGGCTAAGCCTCAGTTTCATTTTCTGTGACTTTCACATGTGTCTCGTGTGTGATTACAGGATATCCGCATTCTCTCAGCGGCTGAGCTTACTGAGGGACACTGTGGTAGACTGTTCGCTACGCCTGTGCCTGCCCTCCCTGGGGAAGAGTGGATGTCCCTCTCCTTTGAAGGTAAGCTTGGCCAGGGAACTTGCGTTAGCCCCTGAAGTGAGAACAGACAATTGCAGGCGCTGTTGAAGTGCTGGGCTTCACATCTCTGAGCCCATACTTTTATGGTCTGGATGGTAGACTTCTCCTTTACTGGTTTTTATTTTTTATTTTTTATTTTTTGGTTTTTTTTTCCAGTACCGGGAACCGAACTCACGACCTTGAGCTTGCCAGGCAGGCGCTGTGCCGCTGAGCTAAATTCCCAGCCCTGACTTCTCCTTTACTGTAATAAACACCGAATTTCAATATTTTTCTGGCTTTCAAGGAATTGTGAAATCCTGAGACTTTAACTCATTCCCTGAAATTTGCATTCTTTTTCTTGTTTTCCAAAGCTTTTAAAATTTAAACATGTTTGTAAAGTTCACTAAGGGACTTCCCTGCCTCACACCCGATTCCATGCTCACTTTGGCCTTGTTGAAACTCCTGCTTCTTTGTAACTTGCTTTGGGAGCATTGTCAGGGACAACTTTCCTGCCAGTTACTGCCTCACCTTCCACCCAACCGAGGAGGTCTTGTTTATTGTGTACTTATAGTATCTATGTTCTTTCTGCAGTATGTGTCTCAATTTGTTTATACAATCATTCGTCTCATTATTGTATTAATCCCCCCCAGTATGTTGAGAATATCCCTCAATGGCAGGGTCTTGATTTTGCTCATTAGAAGTGCTCAATAAATGTCAACCTAGGTCTTTTTTTAATGTAGTATGAAAATTCAACTCTTGCTAAATGAGAGTAGACAGGGGTTGACTGGAAAAAGTTTAAGTAAAAAAGAGTAGAGGAGGATGTCCAAATCTCTACTCAAGAGAAAAGTAGCATTTATCAAAACAGGGCTTTAGATTTTTCTCTTTTCTCCTCATGTAACAAACAGAAATATTATCAAAGGCGCAGGTGGATTTGAAAGAGTATTTGGCCCCTTTGTGAGAGACTGACACTTTTTTTTAGAACAACTGAACCATGTAATTAGTGAATGCTAAATGATTGCCACGAATAGTGCTTTAAATTGAAGTCATTTGAAAAACAGACTTGGAAATGGCTTCTCCATGCGCGCAGATCTCTGTGCTAACAAAACCTGCAGGAGATGTGACAATGGGGAAACAGAATCTGCAAGTTATTTTTGAACATGTTGATTGGCAGAGAAAAGGAGGGTTCCTGGGTGGGAGGGTGGTAGAAATTTCCTGGGAGCAAGGACAACAACAACCACAACAATGATGAAATCAAGTAGCTATAAACAACCATCCTGGGAGCGGGGGTGGAGGGTGGGGGTGAGGGGTGGGGGGTGAATTCATTGCCGGAAGCTGAGCTTCCCCAGAAGGGTCTTACCTTTGTGAGCACAGAAATGAAATCCATCAATGGCGAGGCCTCGGATGCGTCTACGTAGTCCTTGATGATGCTGAAAAGACTGTTCACAAAACCAAGGCTTATCTAGGACCAGAGGGAAAGAGAGAAGGCACAGGCACACACTCAGGGCCAAGGAAGAAAAATTTGCTGAAACTCAAATGCCTGTCTTACCGATATTTCTCATTTTAAATTATCTGCTAGCAAAATTCAAAGATTATTTCCCTCCACTCTCCAGTATATATTTTCTTACAAGATTCTCATAAACAAATTATGTTATCTCTCTTCCTTCCTTCTGAGAAGAAAGGTATGCTTATTTATGATATATGTAAAAAAATTGTGGGCATTTAAAAGTAAGCACATATGAAGACAATGAGTTCTGTGGAATACATCTTTCTTAAATAACCATGGAAAAATAAAAAATGGGAACTAGCTAGCTATACAATCTGTTGGGAAGATATCAGCAGGTGCTCAGGTGCTCTCCTTATCAACCTGAATTCCTGACCATACGATGAGGTGGGGACACAACACAGAACAAGTTACACTCTATACTCCAGTGTGGACACAGTCATAGGTAGTGCCCTGCATTAATTTTCACTATCCTCAGTGAATTTTAAAACACGATTTCTGACATCTTCCTATTTTGGTTTACCTGAGTTAACTCCTCCAGGTTGGCAAAAAGTCTCCATAAATCCACATCCAGAAGATACTCATGAATTTGCAGATATTTGAGTGTATTCATAAAGATCTTTAAAAAAAATAAATGCACATTACTTTTTGTTTTTAAATTCCAAAACATGCCCTGTGCAAGAACATGAAACATAAATTTCTTGGGTATAACTTTACAAAGCATTGCAGCAATCAGTATTCCCAAGGCTCAAGAACTGTACTCAATACAAATCACAACATTTAAGTTCATAGAACACACTGGAAATGTGCTCTCTGGTACAAAGGTGTTGTTAGTGAGTCCTAACAGTGTTCCTGTTGAACTTAATCTGTCCAAGTGGGCTTTCGGGGCTTCATGGAGCCAAGGAAACTCCAAAGGTTCTCTTCTCACTGATAGCACCAACTTGACAGCGAAAACATCCTCAGGCTGTGTTCTCATTTGTTCCTTCCTGAGCAAAAACCCAAATGGCCTTGACTTTTAGGGAGTTACAAGTAGAGAATTAGTGAGTTCATATCTGCTAACTGGTAAGAGGAGTCCATTCAGATAAAGGTGTTACATATTAATGAAAACATTAAGGGCATCTTGGTTATTATTCCTTGATTTGATGCTTTCACACATCAGGGGAACTACAGAGCAAGTCAAGAAAGAACTGCAGTTCACACAAATAACCTGCTCTCATTTCTATAAACTGAAGAGAGACAGCAATTATAAAAGTGAATACTTTGTATATAGTGGCACCTTGGTTCATGGACTTCATTTGTTCCATGATTCCAGGGGAGATGCCATAGCATGTTTGTTACCCAGTGTATAGTTCATGAACCAAGTTGTTTGCAAACAGAATTACTCATGAACTGAGCTATTACTGTATAAGATGGGAAGCCCTGGAAGGGACTACGGGGACAACTATTCCAAGGATTTTAGGTAGATTTTAGACTGCTAGCCTCCAACACCCACTCCTACATTACTTAATGAGTGCTGTGAATAGCTCTCAAACATGGGGCAATAGCTTTTGGAGGCCTTGTTAAACAAGTCCTCAGCTTTCTGGGTCTGACCTTAGAGTTTGTGATTCTGTCAGCTGCCTCCACTAGCATAGCCAGCAGGGTCCTGAGAGGGGGTGATGGGCGATTAAAAAAAAAACTAGACATATACTAAATAAAAGCTGGGACTGGGTGGGACTTGACCTCTCTGATGGAGAGGCAGCAACAACCCATCACAATCTGTGTCTTTTATTTATACACAGTAAAATGGGGGGACATGTGCAATGGACTCAAAGGCCCAAGATCTCAGTGTTTTGCTGAGAACACTGAAAGTGAAATATTCTCACAACTGTCTGTGCTGTAGTTAACAGAGAGGAACACCAAGGCCAAACACCTGCTGCATAGCTTTGCTGTAGTCCTGACAACTTGTTTACATGGCCTGCCTCTGGCACTCTGTGTTCTCAGGGCTGGTCTTGCTCTATCTCTAAATATGGGGTTGATCTCCAACTCAACCACTCCCCACAGTAAGTCTGTGAGGGGGTCTAACGCTGTGTGGCTGGTCTGAAGCCACGTGTTGAGAAGCACTGACTTAGAGCTTCCCAAAGCCACATAGTCTTGGACATCTGAGAATCCATCATTTAAATCCAACCACTTGAAACAGTTAACTGTAGAGAAAACCAGAACTCATCATAACGGTTCACTTGGGACAATTTAAAAGAAATATTCCTTTTTGCTGTGAGATTCATGGCTGTACAGAAATTCTTGGCCATTTTTTAAAAAAATTACTGAGTCTACCAATATATTTATTTTTCTGTGTGATTTATGAGTTTTCCACAAGCAACTTTGGGAGATTCATTATTGATTGTGTAAGGAGAAGTGCATGTGTTCTGAAATACACTAGGGTATGGGAAAATAAATTCAATTTGGCTTTTCTGAAACAGAAGATGCTAGTTTGAAAAGCCTGGGCAGCTCAGAGTGGGATAGGAAGTTCTGTGGCCATTCGTAGGGATGAGGGAGGCAGTGTAGCTTAGAGATTAGTGCTCTGTGGGGGTCATTCACTGGTGAGCACCAGCTTCGGTGCTCTTCTTCTCTAGCCACAGTCTGGTTTTCCCTTCAGTATCTCCTCCTCCCTGGGCTGCATCTGTCCTATGAATCAAGCTGATTTTGCCCCCAGGGCTGCACCAGAGGTGTACATGGGAACTAAGCTATTTTGCTATGTAAGATCTTTCTGTTCTCTCTCTTTCTCTCTCTCTTTCCTTCTCTCTCTCTCTCTCCTCTCTCACCCCATGAGCTCAAGGACAGCAGCCATCTGGTGACTGTAAGAGACATCAATCACAGGATGATGCTAAAGCATGGAAGCCAGGGAAGAAATATACAAAGAAAATTTCTCTTTGATTTTGATTCCCTTGATGAAACCACATGAGCCCCCCCTACCACTGAACTTTCTGGTCACATGGGCCCACAGGATCTTGTACTATTTAATCTAGCTTTCTGTTACCTGCTCTTATAAGCATCCTAACCAGTGGATACTTTCAGTTTTCTCATAAGCTGTCTCTGTGCTTTAAATTTTGCTAAGTAAGGTACTTAGTACCTAGTGCCTGACAATAAATCCTACAGAAAATAACACTTACATGGCATTCAATATAGAGCACAGAAAATTCATGTGATCATCACAATGATTCAAGAAGATAGCCAGAGATGCTATTATCACTCCCTTTTTACAGTTTAGTACAGGGATTGTCAGACTACAGCCTGTGGGCCATATATCTTCATTGCTACCTGTTTTTATTATTTATGTTTTATTGTGACACAGTCATGCACATTACTTTATGGATTATCTATGGCTGTTTTTTTACTGTAATAGAAGAGTTGAGTAGTTGCAACAAAGATCATGTGGTCTGCAAAGCCTACACTATTTACTATCTGCATTGCTTATAAGTCAATTTTTTTTTTAAAAGAGAATAAAAAATTAGAAAGAAACCCAATAAAAACAATACAGAATTTCAAAACAAGATGATAGGATATTGGGCTGGGGATTTAGCTCAGCGGCACAGCGCCTGTCTGGCAACCGCAAGGTCACGAGTTCGATTCCCAGTACCAGAAAAAAAAAATGATAGGAAATTAACAATGGCTGTTATATTGCATATTGTTGTCTTCAAAGTAGTTGCTCAGATTACCAGATATAGGCATGCAAAATTGATCAAACAATATAAGCACTAGCTGTTCCTTTCAATGAACTAATAGAAATTAGTAGCACAATTATCTTAGCTATCTATATATTTCTTCCTTCTTTTCTCCTTTCTTCCATCTCAGTTGTTCTTTCCTTTTGAGCGGTTTCTTTCCCTTTCACAGTATCTAAGTACCTTTCAGATTTTACTTACTCTTTCAGTTTCTTACACTAGGCAGACAATACAATGTCTGATTTACGTGGCTTGAATGTGTCCTGTCAAAATGCATGACCTGAGAACTCAATCCCCGTAGCAATAAGGTTAAAGGTGGGGCCTCCGGGAGTGATGAGGTCACAAGTGGGTTAATGGCATTAACATGGGAGTGGGTTCGTGATCTCAAAATGAGGCCAGTTATAAAAGTGTCACTCTCTTTTTTTTTTTTTTTCCGGTACCAGGAATCAAACTCATGACCTTGCGCTTGCCAGGCAGGCACTGTGCCACTGAGCTAAATCCCCAGCCCCCAAAGTGCCACTCTTTTGGTGACCTCTTTTGCATATGATGCCTTCCATAGTGTGATGATGCAGCAGGAAGGACCTCACCACCTTGAACTTCTTAACCTTCAGAACCATGAGACAAATCTCTTTTCCTAACATATTCTGTGGTATTGTCTCACCGCAACACAAAGCAGACTAAAACACAGACTCTAACAGGAAATGTTGGCCAGCCTCTGTCTGTTTAGGGTATGGGGGACTGGACTGTCTAAAGGCCACGTGCAAGTCAGTGGCGGATCCAGGGCTTAGAGTCAGGTCTTCCCAAACAATGAGTTTTAGCCATGAGCATCTTGGATTCCAAAGGACCTTGTGATCGTAATGCTAAATGAAGTAAATCAGACGCATAAGCTTAAGTATCACATGGTTTCTTTTACGTGAGAAACCCAAGTTACAAATAACAAAATAAATGATAGCGTATAGGAAGTAAAGAGATAGATCTTTTTCAAACAGGAAGGGGACTGAGAGATGGACGGAGGGAAGGGGATGGAAAGAGAACTAAGACGTGCTGTGTGCCTGCACCAGCTCCCCAGGAGGAAAGTAGCCATTGCACACTGCAAACATATACTAATAAAAATACAAATTAAAATTAAAAGACAAAAATATTTTGGACAGAGGTAACCTTGGGAGGCACATAACCCTCTTACCCTTCGGTCCAAGAAGGAAGCTGCTGCCTTCCTTCCCTTGCTCTGTGGTTATTGTATAAGGAATTCTTTGCTCTGAGCTTTCCGGATCAAGGGGCAGAGTCCTGTTTATATGGAGCACATCGTGAATCTACTACTGTGTGATCTGACTGCCTGGATCAGGCATGCATGGAGGCTCCAGAAACCCGTGGCCACAGGTGTTAAGCATTCACCTGGCTTTTTTCATGAGGGAGCAAGATCTACAGTGGGGAAGTGACCAAGATGGGACAGGTTGCCTTGAGGGTGATCCTGAGGCAGAAACTCAGAAATATAAGTGAGAGGGAGGCAGAAGGGGTTCATTCGGACAGCAGACAGGAAGCAGGGCGCTCACCAGGACTGGAGGATCTCATCCAATCCCAAGACGCTATGTTTAAGAAAAGAATGAAGAGACACAGTAGATAACTAAAAAAACCAGAAAATAAATAAAAAATTTCAAGATCCTCTTAAATGAGGGGGAAAATGCACAAACTTTCTTTTCTGGCATGGAAGAGAAAAAGAAGTCCCCAAAGAATCTAATTACTATTTTTCCATGTCGCATAAAAATCAAAACCAGCATTACCATCTTAAGAACTAATAAATGGTCCAAGAAATAAGTGCATTCACTCGTGAAAAGTTCCCACACAGCCTCTTGCTGCTTTCTCAAGTCTAATTGATCAGTAGGGACTTTCTGATGTGTTTCCATGACTTCATTCCAGGTCTTATCCTGCGTACGGGGAGAAAAGAGAGAACAAAACATTTCTGCTTCAGTGGCCTGACCTGCTCGCTGTTTGCTTTGGCTCACAGTCTGGCAGGAATCCCAGGCTCCCTGTTGGCAGCACCCTCCCCCTAGTCCCCCAAACCACAGCTCCTGTGGCTCAGGAATCCAGTTCGTCCCACTGGCCAGCATGAACGTTTACACTCAAAAGAAACTCCAACTGACATTATATGGAGTTATGCTTGACAACTGCATGCGTCCTTTCTAGTCTATCTTAAGGCTCAAGGAACTTCACACCTAGAACTGGGAAGGCTGATTCCAGGTTCCTCGGTCAAAAGCTTGTTGAAATTAACTACTGATGCATCATGATATAAAAGTGTTAGAACTCAAGGAAACCCTGAGAAATTATTTTATCCAAAATGACTTTCTTTTCAGATGGGGACATTGAGGGCTGGTGAATATACTCATTTGTCCCTTGACAAGGGGAACATGGTCTGAGATACACACCGCTAGCTGATTTCATAGCTGTGTGACCATCACAGTGGGTACTTACACAAACTATAATTACAAAATCAGCAGCCCATATCATTTTGTGAGCTCACCTTTGATGTGGATTATCACGGATGGGAATGTCATTAAGGGCTGCTTGACAGTATTAATATCTCTGTAGGGCTTTGTGGCCTACAAAGTACCCTCATAGCCATTACCTCATTTCGCATATGGTGCTTTTTCCCAGGGCTCAGGGTCTTTGCCCAGCCCTGGATGAGTTTTTCCCTGCACCTGGCTGCTATTATGAAATAGGTAGTAATAGGACAATTTAAAATAAAGACCCGCAGAAACAAAGAAGCAAGACAAGAAAAAGGAAAAGCTCTGTTCCACTGTAAACATACCACTTAGTAAAGCATGCAGTACCTTTAGGCTGCAGAACTCATAGCCCCTGAAGTCTGTAATCTTCACTGAAGACAGGCAGTTTTCCAGATCAGTTATGTACTTGTGTTTGTCTTTGCCCTGCTTAAAGATAGAAATGGCATGAATTCTTTACTGACACAGTTTCAGCAGCCTCAGAATCTTCTTTTTTTTTTTTTTTGTTTTTTTTCTCCGGTACCGGGAACCGAACTCATGACCTTGCACTTGCCAGGCAGGCGCTTTGCTGCTGAGCTAAATCCCCAGCCCCAACCTCAGAATCTTCTGTTGATTCTCTGACATGCATGAAAAGAGATCAAACCACTAATAGACGCTGCCACTGTGAACCACAAACTGTTCCAAGATGATTTCCATGCCACAGTCCCACCCCCAGGACCACAGCATGTCAGAGGCGGAGGGCAGAGGCTCATGCGGGTCTCATCGAAACCTCTCATTTTACTAAAAACAAACAGACCAACCAACAAACAAATGCAAGGCACAGAATGGGCACAGAGCCAAGTAGATGGACTGCACCTCTAGCACCCACCCGGTGGAGTGATTACCTCCTTTGCAGCTTTAACTTTTCCAAACTGTGGATCCCAGAACATCAGCATGAGAAAGCACCTCAGATGTATGAGTTCAACCTCTAACTAAGCAGCTGGCTAAATAAAGCCCACAGTGCTAACAAGACTGGCCCGACATAGCAATTCTCTGCTAAAGAGTACCAGAATACTCTAGCTTCCTGAGAATGGAACCACCACTTATTTCTGTTATAGTCTTTATTCTTAGTAATATGGGTTTTAAAACATTGGATGACAGATATTCTAGAACTACTGCAGGATATTGAGAAATTGTTCAGAAAAATAACAAAAATGAAAGCTACTCCTAATTCTGACCCTCAGATAACCATTGTAAACATTTTTCTGGTCATATTTGTAATTCATTTTAAAATCCTATCACATTTACATGTCCTTCTGTGACTTGCTTTCTAAACTGAATATATTGTGAGCAGTTTGAGGTGGATTCATCAGTGTTCTACCGCACGTCCAGAACACCCACTTGGAGTTTAAGTTACCAACCAAACCAGGAAGAAGCTATCCAGTAACAATGGGTTAGGCTTTCTGAAAGCTGCCTTGGCTGCATTTCAGTGGAATGTTTATCACAAATCATCTTTCAACTCTTTCTGTTGTCAGAGGGTGCCTGAGGCTTGTGTGGATGCATAGGGCTTGGTACAAGTTAACCAGTGTTTTGTTAATGAGCAGAGGAAGGTGCAGGCTCTGCTCTTGTGGGCCAGGGCCACCGTGAGTCCCGTGGGGCCCCTCCCTGGACTTCCCAGTATGCTGGTCTCTGATTGCTTGTGGCACAGATGGAAGAAACCTTTTATAGACTCTTTAGCCTCCACAGTAGCAAAGGAATCTTGGAGCCGGTTGGAGACCTCCTACGGTAATTGGGACATATGCCTTTTGTTCATATCTGAAACCATAGTGACTGCATGTTGTGGCAATAAAACCCCAGCAAATAATTGGAAAAGACAGAAGCTAGGATAAAGGCAGCATGGTTGGAGTTGTGGGGAAGTGGGTGCCAGCACTGTCCTCTGGAGGGCGCTCCTGGTGGCTTTCTTCGGGTTGAGCCAGCCTGCTTGTGGGAGGAGGAGACGTTTCTCCCAGCGGTGAGATGAACTCCTCAGAGTACAAACACATCGAGGGCCTTGTTGCTTCCACTGTGGTGACACTGGCCAGGAAAGGCAATGAGAATGTTTGAAGGGAACCTGAGAGATATGGGGATGAGGAAAAGTGAGGCGCCACGGCTGGTTCTAGTGACTAGGAGGCAAGTGGAATGGATTGCACGGGAGCTGGTGACGGTGCACTGGAGCGAAACTGCAGGCTCGGGTTGCATAGACACATTTGGGAGCAGCTGACAAAGACATGGTATTGAATTGGTGAAGAGAGAGGAGATCCTCCGGAGTTCTGATGGCGGAAAGGAGGGAGGAATGTCCCGTCCGGTTACGGGGACAGGGGAGTGGTACGAGGTCTGGGCTAGTGCAGACTCACAGCCAGACTGCGCAGGACTGCTGGGGACAAATCCCTGCTGCCCATAAGCTGTGTGATTGCAGGCAGATGATTTAGCCCCTGTGAACCCATCTCCCCATTTGTTAAATGGGTTAATGTGACCTGCCTTGTTAGAGAGCAAGAACTTACACATCGACGTATAAGCTATGACGTACACAAACAAGGACACATGTAAACAATGTAAGCAGAAATGGTGCCCGTACTGTGGCAACGCTCGGGGGCGCGCGCGCGCGCAAACACACACACACACACACACACACACACACACACACACACGCGTGCGCGCGAATGCACAGAACCTTTATTACTAATATTGATCATTAGCAAGAAAGGAAAGAAGGGAGGAAGATATAAAAAGGAAAAATCTAATAGATTGGGAAAATACGTTACAATTTAGAGGTGTACGTGGATTATCATTTAGAACATGAATTACTTGATAAGTAAGGCTAAGAAGGAAGTAGACATATCCATTTTCAGGGAGCCAGATACTGTGCCCTTGTGAGAATGGGGCTTAAAGAAATGAACTTTCCTTTCTTCCTTGCTGAGAACTTTTGCTGAAAATGTTTTGTCATTTCCCTAGAGTCAGCCCTCTGTATCCACGGGCTTCAGTCCGTGGATTCAACCTACCGCAGATCAAAAAGAGTCAAAAACAATTGTCTGTGCTGGACGTACAGACTTTCCTTGTCATTATTTCCTAAACAGTACAGTAACAACTATTTATGTAGCGCTGGCATGGTATTACGTATTACAACTAGAGAGGATTGTGAGGATACAGCTAGGCTGTGCGCAGGCAGTTTATAGGAAGCATTCTTCCTTTGTGTGTCTCCACCACTGCCTCCCAATTCAGGGTGAAAACCACTTAACACATTTCCTCCCCATTTTATATTTCAATCTGACCTTCTCAATTGGTGTCTTAGATCTCTATCCCAGAACTTGGCAATATTGTCACCCAAAACACACATCGGAACAAGTTGCTTTTTTATGGGGAAAAGAATAGATTGCTACGGACTGTTTGTGGGATGTTCCTCCCTCAACTAAGTCCTTCTCTCCATCTGCTAAGTGCTTCCCTTTGGAAAGCACGCTTTATTTCCCAGGTGGCCCTAGAGCTCCGCTCCTCGGAGGAGCCCACCAGAGCCTTGGGGAAGAGTGACCCCTTCCAAGGTTCTTGGGCCGGACCGACGCAGGATGAGATCCTGAGGAGGAAGGTGCTCAGGAGGGCCTGCCCATCTCAGACCCGCCAGGACAGAGTCCCAGCATGTCCCTGGATGACTGATGGGTGGCAGCCCTCCTGACAGTGACGCTGTGATGTTACTAACAACTTATGACCTGGAGTTCATACAGTTTAGGCTGTATTCCATCCTACCTTTTTAGTTTTGAAAACATAATGTGAAAATCAATCCTATATTTGGCTATGAGAATAGGAAGTTTTTCCAACTTCTAATTTTAAAAGTACTAGTAGGATTACTAATATGACAATATTGATCAAATGTTTACAAGTGCCCAGCTTTGGAGGAAGCGTCATACATATTATGATTTAGTCAGCACCACTTCCTATGAGGCTTCTGTGGCGACTTCCCACCTTCTACAGGAAAAGATCTGAACCGAGGGAGTTAATTCATTTGGCCAAGGTCATGAGGCATAAATCAAGCAGCTAGGATCACAACCCTGGAGGACTTTTAATTTAGTTACTGGACTTCAAATTTTCAAGATATTTCTGTCCATAGCACGATTGCAGATGTCAGTGCCTGGTGACAAACGGATTGGACAGGCCATGGGGGCAGACTTTAACAGACCAAGGGACAGTAGCTTCCCGCAGGGCGCTGCTACCCCTACTGGTATTGCAATTGTCCTGTCAGGAGAACACGCATCAGTTCTGCTTCTTCCAGGAAATGAGAGTGCAGAGCCTGACTGTGATCATGAGTACTCCCTCCCTGTACCAGAAAAAGCCTGGTTCAGACTAGACCACCCCTGTCCTACGTGGCAAAGACTCAGAGACCCCTGATTTAGATGTATTACTCCAATAGTTGATGGAACCAAGAATGAATTTTAAAACCTACTAGGACTAACCCTACTGACTTTCCCAGAAATGCGTATGTATTTATAGAATCTCTTTCTGTAATATCTCATTAATTTTTCAATGTTCCCAATAAACACAGCATTGCCTGCAACTTGGGGCACACACTTGTTCAAGTTTTCCTCATTGAGTGAGCTGCTTAATGAGTTGCATTAAGTTATAAATGTAGTGCTGTAAAGCACTGCTATATTAGAACTGCTTTGCTTGCTTTGCAGAACTCATTAGCCACTGGCAGTTAGCTCTGTTTTGCTGCACCAAATGGCACCATTTGGCATGTTTTGTAGTCAATACTACAGACGTGATGATGTCACTTATGTCTCATGTGGCATCTGCCTTTATGCAAAGATAAAGCAGAATGAAGAGGCTCTTCAGCTATTTCTTACTTTCTTAGTCACAAGAGGGCTAATTATAAACAAAAATTACAATGTGCAACACTTACCACTCCTCTCTTGGAGAAAGGCCATCTTGTTTTTTTGGATTCTGGTGGGTGAAATAAAAAAAAAAACTGTTACTTAGAATAACTGGTGACAGATCATTACAGCGCCTTATGAAAATCTCCTATTTGAAAATAGGCCTAGAAGAATTCCCCCTGCTTTAATTTTCCTCCTGTAGAAAATGCACAGAATGAGTATATTTTTGCAGATGAATGAATAGCACCAGGTCATAACCTGCAGATTGAGGTTCTCCTGCTGCCTGAAGGTGATACTTTTCTGCTTCTCTACTGGGGTAGGGCTAGCCTTCTTTTCCTCATCACCTTAGCCTCATCACCTGGGGAGAAATCTACAAATGGCAGTGATGAAGTTGAATAATTTGTTTATGATAGAGGCAAAGCACCTTGGCTGAAAGGACTGGCTCTTTGTTTTTCCCTTTTTTAGGATGATGTGGTGTTTGTTTATTTATTTATTTATTTTTTGGTGTTTTTGAGACAGGGTCTCGCTATACAGTTCCGGCTGGCCTTGAGCTCACTTTGTGGCCGGGCTGGTCTTGAACTTGCAGGGAACCTCCTGCCTCAGCCTCCCGAGTGCTGGGGTTACAGGCATTTTTCCGGCTGTTTTTCCTTCATCCTACCATAAAACACCCCTCACATGTGACAGTAGATTGACCCCACTCAGACTTGGAGCTCGCATCAGCCCAGTTCAGATGTGGTTGGGCAAAGACTCCTGAAATAGGGCACAGTGACATGTGTTTACCGCCACTGTCCTACTTAGTCCTTCGGAGCTGCTCTGAGCTGAGAAGGAAGTCATTATTCAGTCACACATTCTCTTGACGACCAAGAAGTAAAGAGATTAAATTTTCTTTAAAAAATTCGTGTGTTGTTTCTATCACTAAAAAAAAAAAAAAACCAGAGTAGTCTCTCAGATTATGTGGGAAACTATGGCCATTCGGCGTGCAGAATGGATGTCCTGGAGCTCTCCTTCTGTCAGATTTACTGAGATGATGTCCATGAGGCTTCAGTCAGACAGAAGTAATTACTTGAGCAGCATTGATGGCAAAGGGTGTGTTTAAGGACTTCTTCTACTGTAGCCTTGGACAGGTCCTAACCAGCCCAAGTGGTTATCCTGTCATTTGCTTTGACCACATCACTGGACTTTATAAAGGAGAAATCTCCCTGAGGGACACATTCACCACACTTAGCCTTCAAATGATTGGTAGTAAATTATCACATCTAATCGAACTTGTCCTTGGCAAGTTTCTTTCTTCTGTTTTTCCTACTCTGAGGATAATTTTGGAGCCTGGGGAATACTTTCCAAGTATTCTGAAGAAGATTTAAATGAGTCTTTATTGAATCTACAGCCATTCATTATCTATCTTAAATATGTTTGCTAAATCAAAATATCTATTTCAACAATATCTGCAGGAGTCTCTCACACACATCGAAGAGGATAGGCATCGCTGCAGGCCGTGCATTGGGACCATCAGGCCTCTGTTCTAAATCCCTTGATAAGAGGGCACAGAGGGCTGTGTGGTGTCTCCCATGATGCTCGATGTCCAGCTCAAAATCCAGCTGGTATGATGTAGAAGTGCTGCACTACGGTATGACCTTGTTCTTACAATGGTGGCTGTTAAACTTGAGTAGCATCAGAGTCACCTGCAGGGCTTGTTATAAAATGGACCGGAAGACACGATCCCTAGAGTTCCTGATTCAGAAGGTAGGCATGGGGCCCAGAAACTGCATTTCTGACAACTTCTCAGGGGATGCTGAAGCTGCTGGTGAAACCAGCTGTGGGTTAACAGAGTTAGAACATCATAAAACATATACTACCCCACACTACGGTTACACTGGGCTTGGAACTAGCTCTGCCTTCTGTGGGGCATGTCCTCAAGCAGATCAAGTAACCCCTCTTGGCTTGTTCACTTGGGTTGTGGTGACAACCCTAGGAGACAATATTTGTTCATTCTTATATATTGTATCACATAAGACAGTGACGTGAAAGAGATATACAGTGAGGGGAGAGTTATAAACATGCTCTTTATGCTGCATTGCCTGGTGGCTTCTGGGTTCCACATGCACAGGATACATCTGCCCATGGAGTGAGGGATGGATTCGGGCTGGTGAGAAGGACTGTGTGCTAGTGGTTCAGAGTTTAGATTCCAGTCCTCTGAGACAAGTGGCTGCCACCATAACCAGATTGCTGTTTTCTGGGCCTTACTTGGCACATAGGTGAATAAGAACTGGGCTTGGTGGTTTTGCCAGGTGTTCAAGGCTTTTAGAGGTGCCTTAGACATGGGTCTTATCGGATTTCTGAATGAGGATTCTTTTGTAAAATGGATCTTACTAAGAATCATCAGTTTAAAAAGCCACAACATGGATAATGTTTATGTCTTCCTTTAGGTCTCAAAGTCTTCAATTTACCTACCCTCAGCACCATGAGGAAATCACTGAACACCAGAGTGGCTCTTTTCCTTCTCAGCTGAGGATCCACCCTAGGGTTACACCTCTGACAGACAGTCACGCGCTCCCGGCCCCTCAGCCTCCTCCATGTTACCACCTTGGCTGAAGATGTCAGTGTGAGACTGATGACCAGGCGTGTGTGAAAGATAAGACATACAACAAGTATAAAAAAGTTGCTCATCAGCCAGCAAAGGCACTCTGATCCAGAATGGTGACCATCATGGAGCAAGCATCCATGGTCCTGGACTTGGGATAAATGATTTTACAAGAGGTCATTAAAGGGAGGTCATTAAGATGGATAATTCCTTATCCATCTCTGTACACAGAATGCCTGCCACCAAGACTGGTGGTCAGCTGGTTCAGATAATTCATGCCTTGCGCCTGTCCCAGTTGGTAAGGCACTGGTTCTAGCACACTGGTGTAGTGATCTCCTAGTTACTAAGTATTTGGAGAATCGCTCTTGCTTATGCCCATTTCTGACCCATAGCAGATATATAATGAACATAGTTCAAATGAATCAGACCTGAATTCAGCAACAGAAGTGGGTGGCACAGGTAATCTGCAGCTCCGTCGGACACCAGGAGGTCCCCGGGGAACACCTCAAGTCCAGGCAAGTTCAACACCACAGAACTCCGCCTGTGCTCGTAGAATCTGTGTTCAAGAGAGGAAAGGGGAGAGGTCAGAGCGGGGACTCAGCCAGGTCCCCCTCCTTCCACTGGTCACACGGAAGTGGCTGCTAACTGCGTGCATCGCTTGTCTGTACCAACACAATCGCCTCTGAACTTGGTTCCTCACTCTCAGCTTTACTTGCTCAATTTCACCCTGTACAGAATCACTAAATGGGAGTAATTAAAACTTTAAGTCTGATCTTGTTTCCCAGGGGCTTAAGACACTTCAGTGGCTCTTCATCCTCAATGAGATCAAGTCGTTTTAAACCATATACTCATGCTTTCTGTGGTCTAGCCCTATTGACCTTCCTGATATTCTTTACTTTGCAATTTATTCTCCAGAAATAGGGGATGGATTGCAGTCTCTGCACAAAGCAGTGTTTCACACGCAGGTGCCCTAGTGGAGATGCTTCACCACTTCCTGTTCTCCCAGCCTCACCTCCTACTCATCCGCGAGGCTCGGGCCCCTGGGCATCCACACAAATAGAAAAATGAAACAGAGCTCAGTTCATTCAGTTCTCTGCACTGTGGAGTTTTATCATGTTTTATCTTTGCTTTCTTTTTTTTTTTTTTTTTTTTTGATACTAGGAATCAAACTCATGACCTTGCTCTTGCCAGGCAGGCACTGTGCCGCTGAGCTAAATCCCCAGCCCCCTTCCCTTTGCTTTCTCCAGTTCTCTCCATCCATTGTTAACTGAGGAACACGAATGAATGAAATAGCTGTCTGAGGCTGTCCTCCTTTCCAGAAAGTGATTGATTTTATAAAGTCTTATTTCCTCTACTATCCTAAACTCCTAGCTTCTCATCTAAATCTCCATTTAAAAAGGACTCAGCAAACACTTGCAAAGTAAGTGGAATAATAACCAAACCTACACAAGCTTAGAGTGATCGCTGTCATTCCCTGACCTGCTCTCCTGCAGAATGCGTACTCCAGTAATAGCGGGTTGCCTGCTGTTCTTAACCACTCCATGCTTCACATTTCCGTGGCTTGGTTCAGGTATATCCTGTCTGCCTCTTTAACTCTGCTCACTCTGCCTGGCAAATTGATTCATCACTGAGTTCCAGCCTAGGTGTTCTTCCTCCAGAAGTCTTCTCTGATCCATTTAGGAAAGATCAACCCTCTCTTCACTCCTTCTCCTCCCCTTACCTCTTCTCTTGTAATGACTTCATTGAAAGCTCCTCCTGGGTCTTATATATTACAGGATCTAGTCACAACGTAGAATCTGGCATAGTTCCAGTTTTCATAAACTTGTTGAATAAATAGACATGCTGACCTATAGAATAAAATACTGTCCTCAAGTGAATTTGTTCTACATTCTGGAGCAGAAATGAATAACTATGCATACTCAAAGCCAGAATACAGTTGGATCCTCCCCAACCTCTCCCTAGTCCACAACAGGTGGTTAAACTACCTGACCCATTTATCCCTTGCCTGGGATAGCTTCGAACATAAAGCATCCATTTGGGATGACACAGGTCAGAATTGGAGTTGCATTTGTTGGGAGCCCCTGGAGCTGGAAATTGGCCATATGTGTGAGGGCAGGACAGAGCTAGGGTGCCTCAAGCAGTCAAGCTACCTCAGTCTCGAGCAAAGCATCCTGCCTGGACAATTCAGTCATTAATTGCTAGGCAACCTTGCCTCTCATAATACTAACTTTGCAAGGGTATAAATACACACCCCTACTATTGTAGTTCAGTCCTCTTGCCCATCAGGTAAGAAGCCACTCCCCTTGACCCCAGCTTTTGTCTCTTGCTTTTATTTTCTAAATCCCCTTGTAATTTTCTCCCAGGGACCACTGAGAGACCACCGAATCCTACACACATTTGCACATATGGAGAGGAAAGAAGACACCCAATTGCATGAAGGTTGAGCCATGACCTTGGTGATCAAAACCCAGTGAAGCTCATTGTGGGGAGGTAGGAATGCTCCCGGAAGGGCATAACAGGATCTCTGTGGACATGAAATGTTTTTGTTCATCAAAAGGTAGCATGGGTTAATAAAACTACGAAGAATCACAGTTGTAACCCTACAGACACCTAAAAAAGCCATTAGAAAGAGTATCTACACCCAGTAATATAAAGAGATATGGATTGGTACAGAAAATATAGCCTTACATCATTCATGCCTGGCAGGGACTGGATTTCTGAGCACTCTAAAAAGCACCCTGGTCTGCCACCTGGAGCTGGTCACACACTGGATTAATGATATTAATACAAATAGTTATAATGAGATTTACGTGGCTTTGACTTTAAGTCTCCTAGGGGTGTGTGTGTTGGTTCTAGATTGGTGTCTTGTATATACTGTTCTAAATATTAGGGTTGCTTCTTCTAAAAAGTGGCCTGCATGCAGGGTCATGTGTTCAGTTCTGAGTTGATCATCCACTGAAAGTAACTGTAATGAATTCAGAATGCACAGTGACAAAGTGGTGTCTGCATGGGGTAAAGGTGTCCTGCGTGAAAAGGGCAGGAGGTGGCGTTTTCAGAGATATGATATCCTTATAAGGAAATTAAACTAGGAAGCAAACACATAAGTGCAAAGCATTTGCAGTGTTTCTGGCACCCCAGGGCCTCTGTGGAAGTACAGTGACAATATAAATATACTGTCCTTCATTTGTTTGGAAAAACAAGTACTTTTGAGAAATGCATTCTTTTTGGTGTTTTTGCTTGATCCTTGGTTATTAATATTTTAATTTGGGACAAATTTCTGGACTCAGGAGGCACCCCCACTTTGCAGCCCTCTGGAGTTGACCCCTTCACCCTTGTCTACCCCCACCCCCATGTAGAAACCGAAATCCAGCCACACTTACACTAACCCTGAGGTGCGAGGCCCCAAGCTGGTCAGATCCGAAGGGACTAGTCCCATGGTTGCTGGAATAACTATGTCTCCCTTCTGGTACCAGAATGTCTCCGTACTCTGTCCTCTGCTGCAGACTGGCAGATCCATTGTGTGGGCTGGGGCAGCAACAATTCAGAGAATCTTGGGAATTCCCCTCCCTACCCAGCAGGCCTTGCGCCCATGAGTCAACACTCCGTAAGGGGGCTGCTCCCACGTGTTGGTGTCAGAAGAGTTACTAGCTGCTGGAAATGTGTCCCCTGGTGTACACCAAGTGCATAGGCTTCATAAGTAATAGATTGGTCTTGGTGAATATTATTTTAATTTAAAATTAGCTGATGCTCTCTGGGCTCCGATTTTTCCTCAACATGCTGTTAAGCATCTTACATACATTATCGTTGATTTTCACAAGCACCCTAAGAAGTAGAAATTCCTACTCTCAGTTTAGATCTCAGGATGTTGAGGCTTAGAAAGATGAGTGAAGAGGTAGTCTAAGGGCCCCTTGTTTTAGTGGATGTCAGAGCCAGAATTCAGAATTCCAATAGGCAGGTCTGACTCTAGAAAGATTTGTAAACAGGAGAAAGAGAAAAAGGTATTGGCAATCACTGCAAAGCCCAGCACTGGTTCTAACTTACTGCCTGCTTTCCAAATTGGGGTCTACTTCAGTAAAAGGGAGTGTATGATGAATTGAAGGGTAGCCCCCCCAAAAGGTAATGTCCACATTCTAATTCCTGGAGCCTTATTTGTACAAAGGGTCTTAGCAGCTGTCATGAAATTAAGGGTTGGGATGAGGAGATTCAGTGATGAATGTCTTCAGAAGACACCTGGAACAGAGACTCAGAGAAGACTTCAGGCCACTGAAGACAGAAGGGCAAAGACTGAGGTGACAGAGCCACAAACCGTGCCCCGCCTGGAGGAGGGAGCAAGGAAAGCCTTCCCTGGAGCCTTCAGTGGCAGTGTAGCTCTGCCCATCTGATTTTAGATTTCTGGCTTCCAGAACTGAGAGAGAATACATTTCTACTTTTCCTTTCAGCCATTCAGCTTGTACTAATGAATTGTAGCAGCCGCAGGAAACCAATCCTGGGGCCATTCTATTGAGTGGCAAAGGCCCTGGACTTAGCACTAGATTTCCCGCTGTGACCTTCAACATGAGTGACCTTGGCATTTTGCTTCCTTGGACCCCTGTTTCCCTATGTGGCAAATGATTGTGATGGGTGAGATCTCTTCCATCCCTCATGATGCAGGATCCCAATGGAGGGCCACTCTCATTTCCTTCTCAGTGGCCCGTGGGTGGTGTGGAGATTATGCAATGATGGTTTATCTTGGCAGAAATGCTTGAAGATGAATAATTCAGAATTCCTCCTTTAGAAATATGACTCATAGATCATTCACATCTTAAAAAGACTCCCTCACTACAGCTAATTTAAACCAAGGACCACTGGCCTTAAATTACCAGGCACAATTTTTAAGGGACAACCATGAAAAATGTTAGAGAAAGTAGGGGATCAGTAGCAACTTCCCTAAGGTGATGCGTGTGTCTTAATGGAATAAAAATCTCATGGAAGCCACCATAATCTAGAAATTTGTCTTCCCTCTGCTATAGATGTTACCCAATTTTTTTTTTCTAAATTATTACCCATACTCCTCAGAATCTATAATTCTTGCCTGAGAACAAAAGCTCATAGAATCTAGCTTTTTCCAACAGGCACCTTTCAGCAATTGGATGACCAGGAAAAGTAGGTATTCTATTTTAAGAATCAGGCTTTGCCTTATGCAAGAAATATAGTGCAATTTTAAGTGTTTGCCCCTAATGATGGGGTGATTACCTACCAAATTAAGAATCAATAACAAACTTTTAAAAATACTCTTGTTAATAACAGAGAAATCACAAGTCTGATAACAATTATGGAATGATAGCTCTTTTGGTTAAATCTGGAATATATTTTCCTATTGAGAGTCTCAGATGATTGAGACTTCTATATGTTTGACTCTAATTTCTAGTTCAGTTTCTTACCATAATGTTCTATTTGATGGAAAGCTAGAAGGCAGAACAGATGAGGAACTCCTTCATTGTTTACTGCCAAGAACCTCATAGCTGGAGGCTACTTCATAAGTGTGGAGCAAACCACTGGGATACGTGTGCCTCCTACACTAGCTGGGGTCCAGAACACAGACACGGCTTGAGAGTCTCATCCCATGTGGAAAATACCTTGTGCTGTGACTTGCTAGGCTTTGAAGACACTTGTGTCCAGAGCACAGAGCTCTATGTTCTTTCCAGGTTACTATGTCTTTTGGACAGGAGTCAAAGTATTACTTAATGGGGTCACACAACAATTGTAAAAATCTCCACAGACCCCAGATTCCAGAGATAAGCACCAGACACTAAGAAAGATGAAAGCTGGAGGGAGACACATAAGTACTTGGAAGAGAAGTTATTTTTTACCAAAGGGGGCAGGAGTCATACAAATCCTACAGTTTCTCCTATGAGGCATTTCTAAACTTAGCTAACCAACCCATTTCTCTCTGTCTCTGTCTCTCTCTCTCTCTCTCTCTCTGTCTCTCTCTCTCTCTCTGTCTCTCTCTGTCTCTCTCTCTGTCTCTTTCTCTGTGTGTGTGTGTGTGTGTGTGTGTGTGTGTGTGTGGTACTGGGGATTGAACCCAGGCTTTTCACACTGACCTCTATCTTTTTTTATTTTTTGACAGTATCTCACTAAGTTGCCCAGGCTGGGCTCAAACTTCTGTCCTCCCAGAGTGCTAGTATAACAGGCATTGTGCTCCCATGCCTGGATCATTTTCCTGTTTTGTTCTTTGGACATTTATTGAGTACCTACTACATGACAGAAACTGTGCTAGACAGTGGGAATTCCTTAATGAACGTGTGTACATTAATGAAAACTTCAGCTTCCCCAGTACTTCCATTGCAGAGATGCTGAAGCTCATGGAAGCACCTGTGGCTCTTCCAGGCGTGGACGTACCAGCTCGGTTCTCTGAGGCTGCAGCCTTCTCTTTTGAGTAATTAGCGCTATACTGTATATGAGTCTCTTGTTAATACTTTCCCGATAAGCTTTTAAAAAGTTTGTTGAGAAACCTTTCCCTTTCTAGTATTTCCAGGAGTTTTCAGACAGTGATAGGGACATCGCAGTTTTGAATAAAAATCTGCAGAGGTATAATATTGTATTCAGTTTAGTGTTGGAATGTATCAGATGCACTTTCTGGGATCAAGCATTTAACTCTGGATATCTTAGAAATCAGTGACTTCGATAGGGGAAAGGCTGAATGAATGAATGAACAAATGGAGTCTCTAAAAAACAATAACAGATTCTATTTGCACTTCACTGTTTAAACAGTACAAAAGGCTTATGAGATGAATGCTATTCATATCTCTGCTTTTTGGATGAAAATATACATTTCCAGTCACTCAGGGAATTGCCCAAGACCGCACTGCCAGGAAGTGGAGACAGGATTCAAGCCCAGCTGTTTGGTCCAGCGGCTTTTATGTCCATGTTGTACTGCCCACAGTGGTCACCCCAGATAGATCTGACTTCTTGGGAAGTTTCGCTGATATTTTTATTTGACTTCTTTCTCAAGAGAGACTTTCAAATACATTGTCATTTGGTTTTCCTGTTAATAGTGCCTCACTTGCTAATTTGGGTATATTTAAGGTTCTTCCTATTTTCTTTTGAGCATTGAAGGATAGTCTTTATTCTCACTGAAGTGTAATATGTGTATTTCCCTGCTTGGCTTCAGAGCTGAACTGACAGGCGAGGGAGGCAGCTTTCTGTGCATGTAGTTTAAGATGTGCCAAGAAGGCCTTACTACCCACAACATCTCCCTCAGCTGCTTTCTGATGTTTAAAATCCCAGCAACACAGCTTTACTGCTTGGTTAATAGCCTTGTCCTTGGCCAAAATGCAAATACACTGGGCATGGTTAGAGGACTTTGTAAACTAAGCATTCTGCCCCCTGTCTTTCTTTGTCCATCTACTTTTTCTATCAATAAATATTTTTGGAAGTAGAGTCTAGAAGGATGCTAGAGCTGGAGCTTCAAAGACATATAAGTAACCTCTGTCCTTGGGAAGGTTTCGATTCTAGGGGCAGATGAATGAATGCAGAAGAACACAATATACTATTTTACAGGCTATGGTGGAGCCACTTACCAGGTGCAGGGAAATTCAAAAGGGAGAACTGTAAAGCTCTACTTCAAAAGAAAGAGTACATATTGCTGAGGCCAAAAATCCTTCACACTTTAGTAATGATGTATTGTAAAGACTATTCTTTTCCAGGGGCATATTTCAGTATACGGGAGAAGAACCTCTGAAGTATGAGTTCATGCACATATTATAGAGGGAGAGAGGGAATGACAGCAGGCAAAAGGATTCTTCCCCCAGCTTAAACCATGTCAAGGAATAGAGGCATTGATCACCCTAGTTGTGTAATCAAAAGCTTAGCAGTCATTCTTGTCAATGTCTTTCTCTTCATCCCCCCAATATGACCTAGGTGATTGTTTCTTCTAAATGCCCACTCTGCTGAGAGACCTCTCTTTAACTCCACTTCCTTCATCACAGCCTGGCCTACGAACTTCTCATACTTGCACAGTCTGCCTGTTTCACTTGAGTCTACTTCCATCTAAATCCCATGGCATCCATCTGACTATATCAATCCATTCAATACTTTCATGAAGCTTGCTATTAGAGAAAGAAACAGATGTCCTAAAAATCTTATTCCACCTGGATGATCTGACTCTGATCACCAACATCATCTCTCAGACACTCTGTTCCTCTCTCTGTGACACCTGTATCACACACATATCATTTTAGAGTTTTATCCATCTTGTACCTATGGAAGTTCTGTGCCAGTGGTCACACTCTCCTCCAAACTTGCGTCCCCATCAGTTGCCACCAGTGCACCCAAACTGTTGGTGACACATAATTTCCTGACCCTGAGTTCCACTTTGTGGCTTGCTTTGACCAATAAAGCTTAAGATAAGACTTAGAGCCCATGCTCCAGGAGACCACTCATGTTTCCACTTGTGCTCTTGAACCCTGGTTTTACTGAAAGTATAGGCACTGGACAGCCTTTTGTTCCCAAGAAAAACATGCGGGAGAGAACTATCCAGCTGAGCCCAGCCTAGATCAAGTTAGCCTGAGGGGACACAGATTTATAAAAAAAATACCTGGTTGTTACTTCAAGGGTTTTGGGATGTTTGTTATAGAGCAATAGCTAACTGATACACTATACACAATAATTTGCATTTTCTGGTGGCTTTATAATATTCTCTACTTTTGTTCATACATTTAATTGAAGCTGAGTTAAAGTCAACAAAGACTGCATGGGTAGATATTACCCATATTATGTTAATCATATTATTATGAATAGCAAGTTATGGTGTAGGGGTTGAGGTCCAGTAATAAACAGTGGCCATTTTCCCTAGGATTCTTCTATGAATATCCAAATGAAAGAAGGGCTTTCTTGCTGATCCCACAGGTCAAGTGAATGAAATTGGACAAGAATCCTTCCCTTTATGCCATGGAAACTTCCTTCCTGGCAGATGAGGCAAATCTTCTGTCTCAGCTAGGGGGCCATGCAGAAAGTTCAGAGCTGGTTTTCAATGTGACATAATCCACTGATTTCTAGATAAGGGCATAGTCTGTCATAAAAGGCATTTTAAAGGTCAGACTACATTTAAACAGGACATCTTGTTCCTTTTATCATTGTCCTTTGAATTTCTCTTTGAGAAGCTATTGAAGTGTTCTAGCCTTCCCATTTTCTTTACCAGACAAAGCTTATTACTAAATGGATGTTAATCAAGCCAGAGGGCCAAAGCATTGACAATTCAGAATGAAAACCATCAGGGCAGGTGACTGTTGTTGCCTTTCCCCAAAGGCCCGGCAAAATGCTATGCTCTGAAAGGAGACTTCTGAAATGAAGACTCTCACACCCGTGAGGGGGAAGAGTGGCTTGGGTGGTGCTGAACAAATAGTACTAATTCATGCTCCATCAGGTTTGCTGTGTCAGAACAAAAATAAAGATGTAACAGTAAATGGTCAACATATAGCATCACACTGGAGATGATCAGAGCATACATACCTGGAGCCACGTGATTCTTCCCCCTGAAACAAATTTTAAAAATATTTGTTTTAGTCTTGCTCAAATCCATCCGAAATTCCAAAGCAGATATTTTGAAAGTGGAAACAATGAGCTCTCCTGGCTAAAATGTTCTAGATAATTATTTCTTTTTAAGAAAAGAAAATCCATAGCCTTACTTTAAAGTGTCTTAGGGATACACCAGTCTGAGTTAAACTAGGCTCCCATTTTCCTTCCTCCAATGCTGAATTTCCTTTACATGAGAATCTGCATTTCCTGAAGGAAGGGTGTGCCCTCTTGGCCATGTCACTTTGGGCCATCTTACATCATAAGAACCCCAAGGCCTTTAGAGGAAGAGGGCAACCCTGAGACCTATTTGCTTCATAGTCCACCAAATACAAGGCAGAGACTTAGGGTGGGTTACCTGAGGACGTGGGTGCTGTGGGTCGGGGTGGGGCAGTTTATAGCTTTCTTGTCCTGGAAGAGAGGGCTGGTAAAGAGACATCTCATCAATTGGCTGAGGCACTGGAAGGGGGTCCCCATCTTGGGACCTGGTCTGGGGCTCCATGGTGTTGGCTGTGTTGGGGGCTCCTTTAGGGTCTGCAGGTGGTCCTGAGTTTGGTCTCAAGGGATACAGTGAATACGGAGAATCCTTTGGGCTTTCCAGTGAACTCCTGGACAGGTGACCTGGGGAGCCTGCAAGGACTCTCCAGGTTCCCCAGATGGGCTCCTCCAAGGCATCTTGCTGAGGCAGTGAGGACAAAGTCCCCCTGCCACTGCCCCTTAGCCTCCTCAGAGTGGGAGAGGTGGAAATGCGGCCAGGGGCCTGCCGGTCAAACTGCAGAAGGGTCCCCTGGTTCTCACAGTGCTTCTTAGACAGGCTCAGCAGGCTTAGAGAAGTCCCACAACCTTGTGGTTGCACCTCTGGGCTAGATGACTCTGCCTTCCCCATGGAACTAAGAAGACCCGTTTCTAGAAGTTTCCAGGAGACACTGTCTGAGTTGCTGTTCTCTGGACCACACTGAGGTTGTTCATCTTCCACAGTTGGAAGCCATTCTTCCTCTGGTGCTTCTTTGTCCTTTCCCAAAGGAGACTGACAAACAGGTTGCTGCATCTTCAGTGAGGAGGAGCAGCCTGTGGAATCTGGAGAAAACGAGGAGCCTAAGGTGAGGAAAAGGTGTCTGAAATTTCAGAAGAAAATTTCTAGTTTTTCGGGGAAGATAGGAACAGCCCAGCTCGTATTACCATCCTTTATATTTTAAAAATAATTAATAGACATGATTCCAGCCTTCCCGTCTACATAGTAGATTGAGATATATTTACTATCTACTTCATATGCCTTCCAGGCTCAAACAAAAAAACTTTAAAACTTAGTGATTTCAGAGACTTCTTGGAAGTGACATTGCCAACCACTTTTTGATTATTCTATTTAAAAATAATCAAATAAGGGGCTGGGGATTTAGCTCAGCAGCAAAAGCACCTGCCTGGCAAATGCAAGGTCGTGAGTTTGGTTCCCAGTACAGGAGAAAAACCAAAAACAAACAAACAAAGAAAAAATAAAAATAATCAAATATACATTAAGTATTCCTTACACTCTGCTTTTATGTACATGCTTAAGCACCTTGGTACATTCCAGGGATTCATGAGGAAGGAAAACAGAGCCCCTTCTCCCAAACTTTAAGTTATACACTGAGACATGCCTTCTAAGATAACTGAAGTGAAGTATTTGGCAAAAGATGTTTTAGATTTTATTGATCTCCATATTTTAGAAAATAAATGATTTTTGAGTTTAAAGAGAAAAACTCAGGTCTTCCTAGCTGCCCTGCCTCTCAAGACTTGAGGTGTTTTCTGGGGTTCACATATGTACATTTACCTCCCAATTAAGCCTTTCTCTTGCTCAAGTAAAGCGGAGTCTGCCATTTGACAATCTGATTTATAGAAATGACTGATGATAATTCTTTTATTATGTAGTTTCCCACATGAACAGGTATTTATGTGTGGGAATATAAATCCTTATCTGTCCCATCAATTATGACACGAGAAACAACACTTGATGATTTATAGATGAGGGTGGAACTGTGGAACAGTACGTATAACTATCTTCCACTGCCATGGGCAGTGGGGAAGGCATGTTACACTGTCCTGGGATTGTTTGTGGATGGCAAATGAGCAGCTGATCACATGTTCTGAGAACTCCAATAATAGTTTCAGCAAAGTCAATCATTTTAAAGTAAAACACAACAATCTAGAACCTTTTGGGAATTGTGAGTCCCCTGTCAACTCAACTGGATTAAAAGGCTCTGGGAGAAGTGATAGAATCAAGGGGCTGCTATTCTCATCAGTTGATTAACTCGCTGATGTTCATAGTTGAATGTGCTGTTATGGGGTGCAGTCCAGTTGGAGGGTCACTAGGTGGGTGTAGACATTGTTCCCACATGCTCTGCTTCTGACTACCTTGAGTTCAGCAACATTCCTATTGCCATGATGTTTGGCTTTGGAGCCAGCTTACCATAGACTGAACCCTCTGAAACCACAAGCAAAAGTAAATCCTTCCTCTTCTAATTAAGTCCCAGCACTAAAAAGCTGACCAACATAGGAATGAATATATTTGGATAGTTGAAATGTAATGATGGCAATAAGACACTTTTTTAGTGCACAATATTTGAATTGCATTGGCAATACTTTTTAATAGAACATGTTCTACAATGTATTGTTTATTTCTTCAACATGATAATGGCAAATACTGAAAACTAATAAATGTTTTTCTCATGACCTGACCTCATTATTGTTGATTATCATACATAGTGCTGTGTTGAATACAGTGCTTCTACTATGTTCATTGTAATCCTACAGAGAATGCAATAATTGGTACAGGCTTTTATAACATATAATTATTTACCTTCACCCTAAAAGGTCCAACACTGATGCACTCTCTGCTTTGTATTCATTATTTCTCATTATATTTGGTATACTTGCTTATACTCTTCTTTTTAATTGTTTATTTTCATCTGTTTCAGATAGAGAAGTCCAATGATTTTGTGCAGAAACAATTAGTAGTCTGTTAGAGTTACCCTTATTTATAAAGAGGAGGAATACAATGTTCTATCATCATTAAGATAATATTGTGATATTGATTTTGGGAACTGCACAATCTCCTATATTTCTCCTTGACTCTCACCTGATTTTATGGTCAAATGAAATGAGCAGGTATTAAATTTTAGACTACAAAGTTGTTTAAGGAACTACTGAGATATCAATGAAAGTCAATTCGACTCTTATTTCCTAAAGAATTCTGAAATCCTTAATGTTGAGTTTCCTTTAGCATTTTGAGTTGAAGACTCAAGTGTCAAAGAACTTCACATGTCAAACTAGAATGCATGAAATACTTTTTGGGGGTTGGAGAAAGGGAGGCACTGATTACAGTCAGTTTTCCAGTCACTGGGACAACCTACTTGACATTTGCAATTTAAACAGGGAAAGATTTATCTGGCTAATCATTTCAGAGGGTTGAGTTCATGGTTGGTTGGCTCCAAAATGGAAACATCATGGTAGGAGAGCATGGTGGAGCAAAGCTGCTTAGTTCTTGCTGACAAGAAAGCAGAGCAAGGGAAGAGTGTCAAAGAGGAAAGGACCAGGGACCAAGGACCAAGATCACAACTGCATGGTCCACTCAGACACACCTAGAAGTGTGTTTTACTAATCTCTTGAGTGGTTCTTAAGCCATTTAAGCTGACAATCCAGCTTAGCTATCACAGGTACTATCAGATAGAATTTCTGTCTGGTGAAAGAGGGGAGGAAACTAGTTTTGTTTTGAGATTGATAATTTCTGGTTGCTGTTATAGAAACTGGCACCAGTTTTTCTGGAAAATGAAAAAACCCATTCTGACCACTAGTTAGCTCGGGTCCATTAGATCTCTTCATGTCCTGAACTCCTGGCTGCTTGTGGAGGGGTCAGTTCCTCTTTCTCTTGACAAACAAACGGCTGAGCAGAGGACCAGAGTTACAGGTACTTTCACACTTTTACACACCCAAGAATTTTATTGTGTTTCTACATTAGACAATTATCCAAGTTCTAGACAGCAACATTGTTAAAGCAATTCATAAGTTAACATAGAAATCCACATAATAGTTGCATCAGAATTCTCAGTCCTTGGTTTCCTTTCTGTCCTTTTGGCCTGCTTCCTCCTCCTTTGTGGGGTTGAGATACAGCTTTGGGTGTCCTGGTCAGTCATCTGGACCCAGGCATCTGACCACCGGTAGGAGGTTATTTACCATCAACAGGATTTAAAAGCCATTAGGTATTATTTATTGGCCAGTGTTTTAAATACTGAAACCACAACAATAATAACTATATGCAAGCCAACATAATAGTAACTGCCAACATGACTCACCGTTGAACTGAAGAGAAAATTTAAATACAGCAGGGCTTTGGGAGTTTGTCTGCAAGGAGGGTGGAAGGGCTTAAGCTTTGGAGTGAATGGATCTGGTTTCTTTGCCAGCCTCAATTGCTGTGTGAGCTACCACAAGCCATTCGTCCTCCGTCAGCCTCCGTGCGGCAGTTACAGAAGGCTCACAGGTTTGTTTCAGGAATGCAGTGAATGGCTAGGCTCCTGGGAGGCTCTCACTGAAAGGCTGGCCCCTCATGGATCTGGTGAAGAGTCCAGCGTTAAGTACATTTGTCCATGCCAAGTCTTCTCTGAGTTCTCTAGAAGACTAGAGTTGGATCAGTATGTGATCATTATACAAAAGAGTCACCAGCCTTCTGTCTCCCAAGTTTCAGAATACAGTAAACACCCACTCCTACTGTTGGGGAAGAATCTCAATGTACTAGAAATTAACCGCATAGATTAATGATTCACGAATTCTAATGAGAGCTGGGAAACCAGCTGAACAGGACCAAGCAAAGCTGGTAGCAACAGGATCTAAACAAACAGAAAGAGCAGCAGGGAAGCAGAAAGCAGGTGAACGTCTATTACCTGTAGGATGGTCTGCCCCTGAGAGCGACATTGTCCAGGTGGGTCCCGACCACCCACAGTGTCTGCACAGCCCCAAAGCCAGCTGCCCGGTGAAGGCTGAGAGCAACGGTTCCACACCCTTAACAACCACCTCTGCTCGCTGAGTGGAAGCACCTACATAGAGCTGAAATGAGGAACTGACCTCTCCCCTCCTTAGAGACTTTTCTAGTTATTTGTTTATGAAAAAGCCTAAAGGGAAGCAAGTTTGGAATCTGAGATTGCCTAAGAAAAAGCCAGGTGATTTGTTTTTACTGAACAATGGCTGCTGCAATATAGCAATTGTGCAAATGTGGCTATTTACTTGCCCTTAATGCTCAGAAATCATTGCTAATAGTTCCTTGGGCAGTTCTACATTTCTTTCCTGCCTATTTTCTCTAAAGCTGTGAGACTCATTCCTTTGAACCTTACTTTCTTTACATTTTAAATCATTTTATTAAGGGGATGCTTTGATAAGCACTGAATAATAGAGGAAATGATCAGCTTATTAAGGAAACAAATTTGTGAACATGAATGTTCAAATAATTAAGATGCAAATGGAAAAGCATTTGTATCTACCAGGGTTCTGTTTAGATCAGTATCCCCACAGAACATTTATTTGGTGCTTAGGTGGATTTTTCTAATGCATGCAGTGTTAAAATAATTTTTATAAACTCTTTATAAAAAAATTCAGACATTCTAATTACTAATCTACTGAAGTTTTCAGGTCTTGGGGCCATTACAGATACTTACTGTGAAGGTTCTTCTGTGTCAGTCCTTCTCAAAGCGGGGTCCCTGGGCCAGCAGCGTCGGCATCGCTTGGGAATGTGTTAGAAAGGAAAATCTCGTTTCCTCACCATTAAAAATGCTGCAGGTGGGGCCAGAAGTCTATGCTTTGACAAGTCTTGTAGGTGATTCTTAGCTGTGTTAAAATATGAAAACCACTGCCTTTGGGAACATACAGGTCTAATTTGTAGATCGTGGCCTTGTGATAACCTTTGTGTTAGTCTTTGATTCTCTCATATCAGTCTTATTAGATCATCACTGACTTAGCATTTTGAAAAATGACTTGGTCTCCTCCCCTCACTACCAGTACCATCACCAAAACCAAAATGGAAAGTCAAGGAGTATCTATTCACCGCCATGGAACTGGCAGAAAACAATCTGAGCTCCTGCCAAGGCTGTCTAGAAATGAATCGCTTTACTTCAGGAAGAAGGAAAAATGAATAAAGCCTTTTAGCATTTGTTTTGTGGAAAGGAAGGCCGTCCTTTATCTCCCAGTCCCCTCACACACACTTGACTGTAAAACTATCTCCCTGGGGGGATAATGATAATGGAATACTTGATCCAAATGCAAAAATTTTCACCCTCTGATTGTAATTTAAATAAGAAAATTAAGAGTCTACGGATAGGTCACAAAGGATGATCAGGAAAAAGAAACAGTGCCTTCTCTACCTGATTTGTCCTGGAAATGCAGGCAAGGAAGCATTCTGGGTGGGGAAGAGACATCCTGGAAGAAACACAGTCTCAGGCGGCAGCTTTGTCTTCCTGGCCTCTGGGTGACCACACTGACTGAATAAGTTGCCAGTTTATCACTCCATGTGACACAAAGGGTTCTCTTTAGGCTGCAGGGAGAACAACTCACTTCTCCATCTTTACCTGCTCTGTGGATGACCGTGTCTTGGTCAGGAAGAAAGCCACCCAGGATGTACCCCACATGAAGTCAAAAGGCTGACAGCTGCTTTGGTGTCATGAATATCCAGATCTGAGGCTGTATCATGTGGAGTTGTGATTGGTCTTGTGGCTTTAAAAAAAATTACTCCAACATTAGAAATTAGGGAATTTATTTGATAAGTTTGGATGGTAGGATTTTCTTTTCTTTTTAAAAAAGTAATAAATCTATGGAAATAATGAATCAGTCTGGCAACCCTGGGTTCACATGCCCATGCACCCATACATATCAAAGGACCATATCCAAAGCGAGGCTCCCTGTCTCCAACAGGAGAAGCATGGTCCAGTTCATCACAGTCCCTACCACTCCTTACAGTCTCCCTGGCACTCAGCAAAATTGTCAGTATTTGTCACAGTGCTTGTAGAATTTTATTTCTTTTAACAGTACTGTATATCAGGGCCCTACCTGGAAACAATCCCAAGGTTCACTTCAATAGAGGGAAGAAGGAAGCTGGGAGGGGATGTAAAAAGAATTAAGATGTGTTATGTGCATGTACCAACTTTCCACAATGAATGTAATCATTATGTATTGCAAACACATACTAGTAAAAAGAAAAAAGAAAAAATATTAGGATAAGTGCATTGGCATATCCCTGGCAGAGATGGTGCTTAAAGAAAATGAAGAAATGAAAGAAATAGGCTGTTCAGTGAAAGAAGTCAGAGTATGTGATTCCATTTATATGAGCATTGTGAACAGGTAAACTGATTTATGATGTTTAAAATTAGGATAGTAGTATTATTTGGGTGGAGAGGTAGTGGGTGTGAGTCAGGGGTGTGGCTTTTGGGGTACTAATAGGTTCTGCTCTTGATCTGAGTCCTAGCACCTGAATGTGTTCTCCTTGTGGAAATCCACTCACTGGTATGCTTATGCATGACTTTATGTATGCATTGCTTCAATAAAAAGTGTATCTGTGCTGAAAGGTGACATCCTGATTTACTTATTTGCATGACTTTCTGGCTGTGAACTGGCAAATTCCTGAAAAATATTATTTTTTCTAGTGTTGAAAAAAAGTATTATTTTTATTTGAGCTTCTTTAGATGTTAAGAAATACTAATGGTATCATGTCAAAAATTATTAATATGAATATACTGATAGAGTTCAACATTGCTTAGTTATTTATTCAGGAAAACATTTTTAGGCAGTTCATATGCTGAGATGTCTCATATTCAAAGATGTCTACTTTGCTATTACATATGAATAGCATGTGTGTGTATATATATATGTTATGTATAGAACGGTATGTATACAATTCATTCAAGGACCTACAGACATTTTTTGCATAATTTAGTTGAAATAGACCAATAGACTACTTGCACTTTGATAACTCCCTCACAAGGCTGCAATCCATGTGCTGGATGGGCTGCAGTCCCCTCTGGAGCTAGCTCAGCATCTTCTTCCTATCTCAGGAGGGTGTTGGAAGAATTCAGCTCCTTATGGTTGTAGGACTGAGGTTCCCACTTCCCGGAAGGTACTCTCAACTCACTCCATGTGGTCTTCACCATGGCAGCTCACATATAGCTTGCTTCATGAAAGCTAATCTGTCCCTCCAATCCATTAGGATTGGAGTCCCCTAGATGCATTGTAATCTAATCACAGAAGTGATACTTGAGTCCCTTGCCATATTCTATTGGTCGGAAGGAAATCACATGTCCCATCCACACTTGATTGCAGGTGATTACACATAAAGGTGACTTAGGGTAACACTAAGCTGTACCTGCTCTGGTCATTTCAATGGTAACTAAGTTTTTTTCTAATTGGTGTATGTGGAGGCTAAGATATGTCCCCAACCTTTAGTACAGTGTCTTTCTTTTACTCAGTCTTTGGCATCACACAAGCCTGAAGAACAGTTTTAAGCATTTAAGTCCTGGCTTCTGAGGCCCAAAAACCAGTGTGAAAAAGTGGAAGCAGACCAAGCAACTGCACCTCACAGAAACTCAGGATATAGCCAAGGTTTCATGATTCCTCTGGCTGCCCTGGCTTGGTTCTAAGATATCTATTTTGGCCAACAGTCAACAGAGATCCCATGGGGTTCATTTTTTATGTGAGCTTTTATTGAGGGTTGCTTTGAATCTCACACTGACAGGGCTCGCAGTGCTTAGACCTCCACGAATGAATTTGTTCTGATGTAGACAGAACCAGGAGTGAATTGTTCTACCTTGGGAGGTGTATAGATGAGATTTTTCTGGAAAGTTCATTTTGAGTGGTGCCAGAGTCCTAAGCTGGGACTGATTTACACAGCACATTTCACCTAGCCCAACTCAACCAACTTTTAGTTCTGACAGTTGTAAAGTTCCTGCGTTTGCCTTTCTTGTCAGAACTCTAGCTGTGAAGAAGTTAATGACTGCAATAAGAACCTTGGAAATGAGCTTTAAAAGCCTGGTTGGGAGTAGCGGGGAGTAGGCCTGTGAATTTTATTTTTAAATGTAATAAAGATAGAATAGATAATTAGGCCTGAAAATGATTCTGTTTCTGGTTCTCTTTTGTGATTTAGGGCCTATTGTAAGATTTCATCTACTTCCCTATGATCTCTGTCCCCAAGTCATAATTCTAACACGGTTAGGTCAAAATTATCTCTACAGTGGCCAATTGTGGTGTTACAAACAGAGAATTAAGGCTTTGGGTGGGGAATAAGCAGAAGCAGCAGGACCCTAGAATTGGAGGCATAAACCTTTGCTCTTCTGGAAATTTTCCTGAGGACTGTAAAGAAGGAAAGTGGAGAGAAGAGAAAGCATGCCCAGTTACATACAGCAAGGATTATTTCTAAATGGAAAGAAGATTGATTTCATTTTCTCAAAGGACACTCATGCAGCTTTTTCCAGCAGAGGGACCTTGAGAGGGCTCATACTACTGCCACACCATATGTGGGCATAAGGTTCTTTTCCAGATGCAATGCATAATGCTTCTGATGCGATTTACAGCCATCGTGTGAAGATAGTCATCTTTACATTATATGACTGAGAAGCCTTTTGCCTGATTTTATGTGTTGTCTTCATTGCAAGCAGGAACATTTCTCAGATTATTGTTTAAAGAATTGTGATAACCAGGAATTGATTTGTGCTTGTGTCCCATGCACTGGACATTGAGCAGAGTGTAAGGTTGATCACATAATATTAGATTTGGAGCTCCAGGGGTGCAATTAGTTAGCATGAAGCACTCACATCTCTCTCTCTCTCTCTCTCTCTCTCTCTATATATATATATATATATATATAATATTAGATAGTTAAATAATCATTTGTAATTTATATGTCATTTCTTTCAGCAGATGCTGTGTGCTCAGTTGCTATCCATTTTGTTCAATGCTTTGTGCATGCATAAGACTTCACACTTCACAGAGTCAATCAAATTAACTTAGGAAAGATTCTGTGGGTCTATTTTGCACTGTCTGAAAAAATTCAAAAATTATATCTTATTTTCTGCTTTTCAGTGATAAGAATTTTTTTTAGATATTTTGGCTTTAATACGATGTCTGACAAAGACTTTCCTGCCGCCTTTCATGACAAGATGAGAAAATGCTGGCTAAATTGGAGTGTAGGTTGGTTAATAGGGATCATCTATATCTCAAAAGAGGCCATTGAGACTATTATCATGATCATTATTTTTTTCTGATGGCTCTGATGCATGTTAAGCAGGCACTCAACCACTAAACTATATCCCCAGCCCTGGAGAGTATGACTTTTATTTTTTTTTTTATTTTTTATTTTTTTTGGTTTTTCTCCGGTACCAGGAACCGAACTCACGACGTTGCGCTTGCCAGGCAGGCACTTTGCCGCTGAGCTAAATCCCCAGCCCGAGTATGACTTTTAAAAAAATGAGAAAATATTTTACATGCCAAAGTGGCAATTCTTTTTTCCCTTAACATATCATGGACATCCTTCAGTATCATTAAATATATGTCATTTAAGAGCTGCTTCCTATTCCACAACAAGGAATTAAAGTCACACAGCAATGCTCCTACTGAGGTCACTATTACCTAATTTATGGCAGGGCATTGCTAAGCTAGGCTGACTTCCCTCCATCTCTTCTCCTGTTGTTGGATTCTTTTTCCTTCAGTTAAGTAAGGCTGATTCTCCTTTCTGTTCCTCCACACAGAACCAACCCAGCCTGGTTCATCAGCACATTATATGATTGGCTACATATGATTTGCTAGGAGTTGATAAATGCCACAAGATGGGAGCATCAGGACTTTTGCTGTCAGCTGGGATCTGTTCATAGCCACATTTGCTACCTGCAGGAGCTGCTGGAATGTTTGTGTAGTCAGCTTAGGGAACACAAAATATTCCGATGTCTGAACCCAGTCTGATTCCTTACTTTTCTCAATGGTGTAATAAGTTCTCCCTTTTTAAAAAAATTTTTTTTTTATTTTAAAGAATAAAAGAAGGATAACATAATAATAGGGGGGGCTTACCAAATTACAGACAAAGTGGTAGGAAATTATCAATGGTTATTGTTTTACATATTGTTATCTACAAGATAGTTTCTCAGGAAAACAAATAGATAATAGTGAGTTACAGACAAAAGAGGTAGGAGATTATCAATAGTTGTTGTACCATACTTTGGTATCTTCAAAGTGGCTTCTAAAGAAAATAAATAGAGCTATATATGAGTGACCTATTGAATAATCATTAACTTTTCTCAATGGTTGTTGTAGCAAACACATAATGATAGACATGCATCCATTTAAGAAATAGGATAGGAATAATACAAACATTGCAGAGTTATGGATAGATTAGTAGGAAAATATCAATGGCTGCTGTAATACGTGGTGGTATCTTCAAACTGGTTTCTCAGGAAGACAGAGATATGCAAGAAGGATCTAACAAGTAGTTACAGCCTAAGGGTTGTCAAAAATCAAGTGAGCCGTCTGGGGTGAAAGCCATTTTTTGTAGCGTTTTCTCTCCAGCCTCCCATCGCATTGGGACCCCACAACCAGTTAGTGTCCTCTCCCCAACTGACAGCACAG